ATGGTCGGTTGTCCCGCAGAACCAGGCCGCGGGGCCGGGCGGTGCGTTGGCAGCGCTCGGACCCGCTGTTCGTGGGGAACCGGGTTGGCTGACAGGTCGCCCATGGCGACCATTGTTCCCGGAAGGCTGGGTGGGATCCATTTGGGGACGCTGTCGTAAGGCGTCCGATGTTCTGATGACGTGGTGACGTCGAGCAACTTGATGCTGTGAACGAAAGTTCGTTCGTCGCGGCAAGAGTAAAAAAGTGTAAGTGTACGCGAGCCCCACGACTCCCCGAATCCCGCAAGTACTCTGGACCGGGCTTGATTGCTCGGCGTACTCGCTGGATGGTGGGGGGTGGTAGAACTCTGCCCCCACCAGGCGCCCGAGGCCCGAACCTTCGGGCGCCGTACGCTTACGTACGATACATGAATGGCGGTATCTAATCTACGGGCGCCTAGATGCGCTAGTTCTCCGCGATTCCCGGAGAACACCTTCTCCTACTGAAGTGGACGTTCCCGTCCAGGCACTAGGGAGTGCCGGTAGTAAGTAAGAACCGTCGGGTTCTTACAAGGAAGCAATTCAGATCTTCGCGTCGCTTGCGGTCACAACGGCTCAGAACTTGGAGAAGAAGTCCTCAGATCTCAAGATGCCCTTGCAGGCCTAGCGCGAACGTCTATCCAACATTTGCGATGACATCACCATCTGGAGCGACCTCGTCGCCTGGAGGCAGAACGTTTTCAACGCGATCAACAAAGCTTACATCCCGCTCGTCGCGCCTGCGAACCGAAGGAGACAACGAACCTTAGATCGAGCCTATGTGGCGCCACACTGGCGAGAATCTTGGTCGATAAATGACGCCCTGCCAAACTGCGGTGAGCATCATGGAAACATCATCTCCAAGTTACAGTGACGTCGCTCGTACAGTGCCTTGGTATCCGCTGCCAGCGAATCTATGCGCTTCAGCTCTCGCCTTAGCTCTTGCGAGAGTCTTCCACAAACCTTGGTCGGTGAGAATGGTCTCAATATCAACAGTCCGTTCAGCGAGCGAACTCGCGACAGCATAACATAGACACCCTGAAGTGAGTGCGCACTTTCGATGTCAACTATAGCATGCATGAGGGATTTGCCTTGGCTTTTATAATCTGTATAAGCGTACGCAGGCAGCAAGGGCAACTGCGTGCGGGATATCGACTTCATGACCTCGGTGTCACCAAACAACATCTTGCATTGGAAATAAACAGTCTCCGGAAATATTGGAACAATGTCCGTCTCCAAGTCGTCACTGATTTTTCCTGCCCCCGGGACGTGGATATATGCCACTGTAGCATACAAGTGCTTACCGATCTGATCATACAGGACATGCCGAACGGTTCCCTCTGCCCCGTTTACAAGGCGCTTGCCAAAAGCGATATTCTCACGTATCATGACCTTCATACCCGGAAAAAGCGGTAATGTTCCCAGTGAGTCTGCGGTAATTTTCGATGGTAGCTTCCAGAGTGCGCTTTGCCTCTGTTCGTTGGGGTCCTCCTTATTAATCAGGTCCTTGGAGCGGAAAACTGGAACATGGACGCCAAACTCCCTTGCTTTGAGGCGAATTATGCGAGCATTGATATCATCTCTAAGCGCCTTGGTGCCCACTATGATAGGCGCATCCTTGAACGATAGCATCGTCTCCGGATGTTCCTGGTATACACGCTGTGAGACTCTACCATACAACATCTCAATGTCACTCTTTTCCTCCACCAGCTTATCGTTTGGCCTTCCTGTCAAAGCCTCCCCAACACGAGTGCGTGCCAAAAGGCGTCCATACCTAGGATCGGCTGCCTGCCGTTGGTTTTTGGTAAGCTCCACTACCGTGTCAACTTGCCTCCATAAATACACTCCCCGCAGATTATCAACTCCAGTATGATCGCGGATAGTTTGCAACCCAGGATTATCTATAATCTTGTGATCGTATAAGCTAATAGCCTGAACAGGCTTCAACTGTCCGAAGTCGCCTGTGAAGATAACGTTGACTCCGCCGAACGGTAAGACCGCCGCTTCACCTTCATTGCCTTTGGCTTGTTGCAAACGCGCTGATATCTGAGCTAGGAACTTGGCGCCGATCATCGACACCTCATCTATCACCAAGTAGTGCACAGGAGACCATAAATCTATTAATTCCTTGACAATCTTCTGGCTTTTACTCGGAAGCATGGTAAGTGAATGAATGGTATATCCCCCAACATTCAATGCAGCAGCACCCGTAGGTGCCCCCACTAAGATTTCGCGCGAACGCCCAAGCAACTCAAAGAGGCGTAGGATTGCCTGGATGACATACGTCTTGCCGGTTCCACCAACACCGGCAATGTACATCATCAACTGATCTTTTCCCTCCAGCACATGTTCGCCGACAATGCGAAACGCGCGTTCTTGCTCCGCGTTCTCTTTAAGACCGAAATCAGCCACAACCTGTTCGACAGCTTGAGCAATCCAATCGCGCCGCGACACTGGAACACCCTGAGCATTCTTCAACTGAGTATGCTTCAACACCTCCGTTGTCATGCTCTCGCTGACCTCTTTAGTCCTGCGTTTTTTCCTTGATCGAGGGTTGTCGTCAGCATCACTGAATGTTGGCCTACGGTCCTTCTTCAGCAAGCGCATTATAGTGGAGTGACGTTGAACGACGGCTGGGGGCATCTCGCCAAACTGCGGCAACGCGCTCGGATGAGGCTCACTGCTGTGCGAATCACTTATGGCGCCTGGCTTGCTATAACAGAAATCTAACATCTCTCTGTTTCTAGTCCCAATCCTATCGTCCAATGGGGCGCGGGAAGAGTCATCCGGCTCATTAACGTTTTCGTACACATTGTACATATCCGGCCGATCGAACAGCTGAAAATCCTGGTCATTGATGTCACCATTTGTTCCGGTGTGTTTGTTTGTAGTGTCCGCCGGTGCACCGACTGATTTCATAAAAGCCAGCGCTTCAGTTCGACGGAGATCTCGGAACGAATCCCTAACATCCCGGCACTCTGACAAGACATTCATGTTTGCTATAATCTTCTTGTGCCTAAGCGATATCTTACTACTATGCCGCTCATACGCAGCTGTCCAGCTTTCATCAGGACCGCGCAGATCTGCAGGTTGCCGCCAAGGAATAAATAAAATCAACATCATACGTGCCCACGCTTCACGCTCTTCGTCACCGCGGTCTGAGCGAGGAATGCGGTCACCCAAAATCACAGGTACTTGAAACTTTGAACGTTTCCGTAACAAATGAGTATGGTACTGAGTGTGTGCATCGGACAGAAACATGCCACGGGGGGCAGCGCGGCGGCCGAGACCCCCATGGGACTGCTCAACCGTACTATGCTCCTCGTCGTTCTGCTGAGCATCGACATCCTTGGGCGCCTCACTCTGTCTACCAGCTTTGCCGCGGGATTTATCCTCGCTTTTTGTAACCTTGTGCACACTTCCCACAAACTCGTACAACGACAAGCACTCAAACGCCGGCTCCGCACTCCTCAAAGTATAATCTTGGCGCTGACTGCTAGCGGAGATCGTACCACGCTGCATGGTCAACACAAAGGACTCTTCCTTCTCTTGCGCCGTTGGTACGCCTAGGTCAGGCTGATCCTCTTCGTTATCTTGCACATGTCCTGTCTGACTTTCACACATGCGAACGTCACCAACTATGGTTTCGGCGTTGACGACGTGATGCGAAACACCCGCAGCTTCCTGCGCATCACCTGTCAAATCGCCGCCCTGTTCAAGAGCGATATCATCAGAAAAATGAGCCCTGAACAAATGATCGAATGTGGCCCAATGTAATACTTTGAAGGTATGACTAGTGTAAACGTCCCCTCCGCCGACGAGATAGCTCATGACTTGTTGATGGGATATCTCCTGCTGAGACAACATGCGGTTCACGGTCAAGCTCAACGCACCGCGCGAACGTACCGACTCAGAGCCTGTCGTACCACCGCTCATATGAGGAAACTTCTCGTTCGTTCGCTGTATGGCGTACGATAGCGCACCCAATCCAATGTGAGTGGGAAGTGATGGCTTCGTGATATAGTCCGTGACATAGTACAGCAATGCTTTTGCCGCTTCCCCAGATCCAATAAACTTAATATCCATATTAGACTTCATCAAGAAAATAATCAGGTCATTATAGCTAGCGATACGCGGATGCAATCTGCGTAAAATAATTCCCCCGGTCTCATCATCAATGCAAGTCTGCGGGATTGTGCTACCATCAATACGCATGCGGCACAGCGCATCGCGCTGCTCAGGATCTTCAGGTATCATGCCGTTCGGAACATACTTGAAACAAGTCAGCTTGTGTTCATGCCAATTGAACTCTTTCACTAGATCCGACACAAAATCCTGAAACGCTGCCTCAAACTCATCAGCACTCTCATAAGCGCTGATTGACGGCGCAGATGCGACCCCGGGATGTGTCCTCTCCTTCTCATTGACCCTTTCTGGTCGAGCTGTAGGTTTCCCAGGAATCTCAGTCACAACCTCCGTTGTTCCGGGTAACTCGCACTTTATGATAGACTCCAGCCATTCGAACATCATATTCCTATAAGCAACGGAGCCACCCAATCTATCACGCATTTCCTGGGGCGGCGGGTGGCCCTCGAGCCAAACCAACATATGACAATGTAAAGTACCCCTGCCTTGTGCTTCCACGGTACCATAATACGCCTTACATTTCCCAAACAGACCGACACCAGCGCGGTTGAAGCGCAGAATAATCTGAAGAAAATTGGTGATCATGGTGTCAAAAAATCGAGCGCATGCCGCTGGATTTTCCGCCGCAAGGACAGTTCTCTTCCAGCGCGATAATTCCTCTCCACGCATGACATCTTCCAAATTGACCTCATCCCCTGCATATAAACGCACCAATGGATGATCACGGTCTGACGGGTTTAAAGTGATGAACAGAGTAGGAGGTCATTCGTAATTGATCAAACCACGAATCTGATTACGCAAAGTTATTTTATAGCCATTGGAACCTGGTAAATCACGAGACATCGTGTTCACCTTCAAAAGCAATTTGAGAATGTCGGCTTCGCCCGGATCTTCGGGCTTGTAATGAGGATTCGCTTTGAAAGCTGCAATCATCTTACTTAGCTTTTGTACGTCAATCTTCATCAACCGCTCGATAACTCTGTCACGTTCTGACGCAGCAACCCTGAAAGAGACGGAGTCAAAAACTGCTTTCTTCTGCAAGATATTATAGTACACAAACGCAAAGTCGGGGTCCTTCCGAAACGGCGAATCGTGGACGGCGAGCAAGTACTTCAGCTGCTGCTCCATAGTCAAACTCGTTAATCTTTCCTCCTTAAAGAAACCCCCTATACCCCACGGATCAAGATGTGGAAACAGCCACGACATCAGGTGCGAATTACGGAAATCCGGGATCATCTTCGATGCAGCCTGTGCCTTCACATACCGACCATCTTTCAAGCAATGCGCCAACGCGACCATTGTCATCTTGTGATAATTTAATGGGGAGCTGTCGCCGTCGGTATATCCTACATTTTCCATCAGCATACTATCGTGTTCATCATCAGGGACATCGTCGAGACCAGGAACGTAGTTACTGGACGCGCCTTCCACTGCAGCACTCAAACTAATATGACCGATCTCCATTGAACAAGGCACACCTTCGTCTACCCCAGACGTCCCGGGTCCGAACAGACTGTCCAGGTTAGCCTTACTAAAACCACGGAAGCCCTCGCTGGGCCGATAATGTGGGTTTCTCGAAACCAGGAAGTCAATCATAGCTTTCACTCGGGATTTACGCACCAGGATTGGATTCAATCTCTGAATATTGGCTAATGTCGGCTGTGTTTCCCCCACAAAGACCGCACATATAGTGTCACGAATGACGTCACTGGACGGTGGCAAAACATCGTTAAGGTGGGTTGCATCTTGAGGATGTATCGCTACATTTCCTTTCACACATCGTTGTGATAGCGGCGCAGGTTGCTTACTCATAGGATGACCTTTCAACTCGCTGAATTTATAAGATATCTTACTTGCACGCGCCCGAGATACTAACACTCTCTCCACAGGGGTTGCCGCATGAAAAGCTTCTCTAACAGGGTCTGGGAGCTGTTCGTGTCCGTAATACAACCAGTTAGCCAGAGCATATCGGGGCACCCGTGGATGAGACAAGTCCACCATGCACTCCTTACACACTCTCACATCGCCTCTGTCGTCGACATTAGTCAAACCCTTGGGATGAAGGATAGCCCCACCATACGCGGCTCGATTGTAAGAACGCGGTTGCAGCTCCGGCGGCAATAAAGGATTGCATAATAACGAGAAATCAATCTTCCGAGGCTTCACAAAAAGAATGCGACTCAGTTCAGTATCTCTACCGCAGACGGCACACACTACATCTCTCAAGTTTGTAGTGCAGACCGTTTCCTGCCACTCTTTGATAATAGCATTTCTTAGCTCGGAGTTCGCCACCGTCAAATATTCATAACTATGATCCTGCGAAGGCGACTCATCGGGAACTTCAACCACTTTGTTCACGTGTACATTGCGCGGCTTGGGCGGAACAGCCAACGGGGGCACTGGTCCGCTATCTTGTCTGTCAACGACAGAGGGCCCTGGTTGTGGGGAACCACGGACGGCTAAATTCTGTTTCTGTCGAGGACCGCTCAGAACATGAAATACATAATCCGCGCAATGACTGTTCGCAGCACAAGTGTGAGCAGAAAGCGCTGCGAGGAGTTTACTAATATTACAACGCGGGGGCAACGGCACACCATGAAACGCAGCAATTTCTTTCAGATGCGAAAGGCGCCAACGGTTGAACATTGACAACACTGCCTGCAACGATATCTTCAACACAAGATCACCAGCTTGAACGTGGGGACTACTCAGGTATGATGTCGAAAGTAACCTAAACTGAAACATCGCCTCAAGGTGATGGCGTGTAACATGACGTGAAACGGATTGCAATTTGCCATTTTCAACCAACATGTAGCTAGCGTCAACGACTGAACCGTATAACACACAGAAAGCGCACATGCCGGTAGATGAAGTATTCAATCGCAATGCGATAGCACATAAGACCATGAAGACGCGTAAACAACACCACACGATGTTTGTCCAACGACAAACGCGAGGGAGAGGCAGAAAGGAAGACGGGAAGACAAACGACGTTTCAGAACGCATTGCAACATGTTTTGATACAGAGTTTAGACGATTTAAGACAGATTTTAAACAGGTTTAACAGATGAAAGTGACGTAGGGCAACATCCGAGTAAACGGAGGTAACCCAGCGCAAGGTTGGCTTCGTGAGTACGCAGATTTTCCCAAAACAATTAGGACACTCACCAAGGGTTTGCATTGACGCGTCTGAGGGGCCAGACCCCGCAGCTGTCGCCCGATGAGGCGGCTGGCCTGCGCGTGAACGTGAGCGACACATAGACAGGTGACGATAAGCGACTACCGTACCGTGGTACGCGGGGAGCCCCGAAGCCGTGGCGGCATTGGCAGCGTCGGCCATAACTGCCACTGAACGACGCCGGTCAGTCCATTGAAGCGGTCATTGAGACAGCAAATGCAATGCAACATACCGGATGGGGGATGTGAAGTCACGTAGCATCCTAACGGAGAGATCCGTTCAGAAGCTAAAGAGGAACGTCAATAATGTCATGAAAATCGTGCCAATGATGACTAGCAATACGAACCAGCACTGTGCAGTGTGGGCATTTGCGATAGGCAAGTCTTGTCGGTAGATGTGGGTGGGTGATCGTTACGAGACCAACGCGTATGAACCGCGGTATAAGAACTGACCTGGTGGGAAATGAGCACGAGAAAACGAACCAAGATCGCGTCATCGCCGTTCAAAGTTGGCAAATTCCCGCGCACTGCAACTAGAACAACAAAACTCATCCCCGGCCCTATCCTGAGAAGGAACCCGCAATCCGTTACCCTCTTCTAAATATTGTTGAAGACTAGACACAAGCACGACGATGACCATGGCACAATTTCAAAGCTGGAGGCGCGGGAACGACAAAGCTCCAACCACATAAGCGCCCGCTACATTTCCTTTACCTCTGCCCAGACAACCAATCACCGTCCGCCATTTGATTCCCACGCACAGACCTCACCCGACTAAACTCCACTCACTTCGCTGTATTGAACACCTACGACGTCGATTCCCTCTCAGATCTCAACAAACCAACCTACTCACGCGAACAAGCTCCATAGCTCTGTTCGTCGTGCTCTGGGTGTAATCAGCAAGTCGGCGGACGCAGGCACTTGAGCTAGCGATCCATTCCGCGCACTACGCTACGGACACCATGCTGGAGCTACCCCGCCACTTACCCTACGCTGCGCGACTCCTAGTACGAAACCGGTTACCGAACTGTTTGCAGAACCACCTTGCCCGAACAGCCACGGTGGTCACAAAGATGCCACCAGCGCACACCACGCAAGCTCTATACCTCGGGCGGTCACGGGTTTTTGCAGGACAGGTAGGGGCCGTGAACCAAACTGTACCCTTCATGAAGCTGGCTAAATGACAGGTTCTTTCATCGCGCAGGGATGGACTAACTGAAGAGAACCACACGTTCCCTCCTTGTACAGGTCCGGGAGGCGACATTTAAGGCTGCCACTCGTGACGACAGAGTGCGCCCGGTCGACGCCATGCTTTCGCCACTTTCACCCCACAGCGATGTGTTTGTCTTGGTCCGAAAACGTGCGCGAGAATGTACGGATATCGAGTCCACTGCACGCACGGTCGTTAACGCGTCGGTGCGCAAGTTTTGTTGGCAGAAGTCGAGACGACAGAACTCTTACAGGTGGCAACAGACGTGCCCCAAGTGAAGGCCGTGGAGCATCGATATAAATGAATGTACAGGGGTGGATCATTTCACTGTTTTGCAGAGTGAAAGGACTTAACGCGGCACGCCGAATATATGGATCATCATCGTATCTGATTTAACCATTGAAATGGACTGAAACCTCGCGAAACAAGCTAAAACGTTTGTTCACACAATGACAGGAACGGCAGAGCGGGAGAACAGAAGACCGGCACTTCGCGGTGCCTGCTCCACGCAACATCCTCTACAACCCTGATGCACTGCGCTCATCGCTATACGCAACACATATACTCGCGCACGCGCGACATCTCCATGGATCCTCGATACATGCGACAATGTGGCGACCTCCGCGCAACATCGTCATCAAGACCAGCGGAATGGATGCGCACCGAACCACGGCCCTCACCTTCTCGCTCAGCCGTCTTCTCTCGGCGCACACGTGCTTCACAGTCTGTGTAGTCACCCTTTCGCGAGATGTTTATCACCCGTGCGAGACCGGGGACTAATTGCGCTGCGACGCGTCTATGACGGTCTGCAGAACTTCATACGACTACACAGGCGCCGCGCTGAACCCGTCCGTTCTCCTGCAGCGCGCGAAAGGTCTCTTGCCTGACTCGCTCAGCCGTCCATGAAACCATCGTCCCCGGTGGGCGGGCGCGGCTGAACCTCGCTACGACGCGTCTATGACGGTGGGCAGGGCTTCATAACACTGCACAGCCGCCGCGCTGCACCCATTCCTTCTCCTAAAGCGTGCGAGAGGTCTCTGGCCCGACTCAATCAACGGCCGAGGAAACCATTGTCCCTGGTGCGCGGCCGCGGCTTGACCTCGCTACGACGCATCTATAGCGGTCTGCATAGCTTGATGCGATCACACAGCCATCGCGACACATGCGACCCTCCTCTTGCAGCGCGCGTACCCCTCGCGCCCAACGCCCTCACCAATCCACCAATGCTCTCTCACTCTCGCCTATGCGCCACCACGACCACAACTGACAATAGGGGTACGTGGGCTCCGACGTCTCTACTCCGTACATGACGCAACAACACAGAAAAAAAACACCCACCCATCGTGTTATGCAATGGAAATAACCTGCACATCTCTTGCTACATATAACCCAGGCATCGCAACACACAGAACAATCCTACGGTAAACGATGCTTCCGCGGGTGAGTAGCCAACCAACCTGTGCGGTGTCCGACGTAGTGACAGCATCATATTACAGACAAATGTTGAACGAACGGTATAGGACCTGGGTAATGGACAGCAAGAACATGCTTATACATTGCGTTATAACCCGTGATGACGAAATGACAACATACGTGAGCGATCCAGTAGAAAGTCGCAGCGAAAGACGCGCTACATAACTTGCGCACAGCACGAAACGATGGTGCTCGCGACGTGTTGTACGCTTGCGCTTTCCCCCATGATCTTCAAACATGATCACTCATCCTTACTAGCAAAGCATGTGTGGCAAACTCCCCGTTCCATCGAAGCATAAGAGCTACAAACTTGCGCAACCCGTCGTTACTCGTCACCGCCTTAAATGCCGCCCGTCACGTCCCCCGTCATCGCGACTCCTGCTTCAACCACTACCACCACCACCACCACGCTCTACCCACACCGCTCACGCAAATGTCGCCCATTCACGCACTTGTTACCCCTCTCTACTGGGTAAAGAGACCGAAGGTATCATTCCTTAGGCGAGCTAACCAGTGGGTAGGCCGTACAGAGCGTCCTAGCCGGACATCCGTCCGCGCCGCAAACGGCCAACTTCAGCGACTTCATCAAGGTAATCGCGACGCGACAGGAAGACGGCACACTAACGCTAACTACCTACTAATTCAGGCCCTGGAAGAGCTGGGATTCACGCAGAGGGCCGGAGTCGCCTCCAAGATCGTTGAGATGGACCCACCCGCCGGGTGGGTCCCGCAGACGGGACCGCTACGCCTGTCGCGTCCCAACGTCGGAAACGCCTGGTACCCGTACGAGCACGTAGAGTGAGTGGTACTGATTACAAACGAGCAACATACCCTCTAACGTACGCGCAAAGCGTCCGCATGGAACTGGAGGAACGGTTCGGGATCACCGGGAGCTCGTTCATTGAGCTCCCGAACGACGCGATCCCCAACGAACGGGGCTATGCCATCCCCACGCGCAAGGGGAACTAAGAAAGACGACGACACAAAAATGTGTGTATTGCACGTAAAGACTCGAACGCGACGGACCGGTGTAGTACTCTGTAAAGGCGAAGAAAGGCGCGGCATGTGCGAAATCGTCTCTGTAATCTTGAAGTATCGTACCGAAATAAACAGACGTAGCAACGGCAATCGAGGGGTAGTACGCGAAAGTACAGACCGAAAGGCGCGACGTACATGGAACACGGTCTCTTGTGGACCAAATGGTGGAAGTGGAGGAGAGAACATACCTCCGTAACACATGCGCGACGAGACGCAAACAACGACGACGTGCAGAATAAGAACATACACCACGTACCATAGGGGTTCCTGAAAAACCTGAAAGTCTGCCGCCAATACCGTACGCCACCAAAGCTCCGGACTTGAGGTAATCGTTCCGGCAGGAATACCAGAAAGCAGGCCCAAATGGCACCGGAGCCGATCGGTCATAGTCCATGTGCAAGCGATCGAGAATCAGGGGGTGGCTGTGATGGGAGCAGGCGACCAAGATTGACGAGCCGAGAGAGGGACGAATAACGAAAAGAGTAAACGCAGAGAAGACCTATTCCCACGATCAAGACCCCAGTTCCTCTGAGGTGTGAGAGTACGTCTTTCGTTCATTTTCATTAACATGAAGCTTGGTATGTAATGGTAATTTATACCGGTGCTATGTAAGACTGGCACGACAACTGAAACTGATAATCCTTCGCCCGACTCCTTACGAGTGCAGCGAGCGAAGACATGCGTGCGCGAGAAGCGAGGAGGCGGGGATAGCGAAGACGTTCATGGGCAGGGCAAACAAAGCGAGTACACGTGGGTAATACAACGAAGAGACGACGGACATGATAGTAAGAGTGAGAGGGACAACTCGAACCTAGTCGGACGGAAGACGACACAGTTAGAACATCAACCGTGAGAGCACATGCCGCAAGCGGCAAGGTCACAGCCGTGACTGACAGAAGGTCAAAGAAGGCGTGACGTTACAGTAACATCGCCCGTGATTTGTCGGTACAAAACCTGTCCTACTACGTAGTCCAGGAATAGACCGCGCCTCTCTCTCCCGGTTTCGCACTCCGACGTGTCCCAAAGAGGAGCGGCTCTATAACGTCTGGTGACGAGACTATGGTGGAGAGGCGACCCCCAGCCCCACCAATTCCGAGCCACCCTACTTGCCTCCCGATGTTTCTTCTCGATTTGGTAATTGACGTGTTTTGACTAGCGTCGATCATCCGCCTGCGCCCTCCCAAGTGCTCTTTTGTCCGTACCACCACCACGCGACCGCGCCCACCTCCACACATACAGCTTCATCGCTGCTCTTCCTCTCGACATCATCGCATCGTGCGCCCCTGGCGGAGGCTGAGCGATGTTGCTGCGCAAGCGCGCGTTCTGGACGATCGGTAGACGCCGACGGCCTCTCACGCCGTTGTGCATATATGCATCATCACTGGTACGTACATGTCTCTTGTTAATGCGTGTCTGCCTGATTGACACATCGGCGCCCCAGATGGTCGACTATATGCGTTGCCAACTCGCATGTACTAGTTCTCCATGGTGCGGCACAAGAGCGTAGGGTACTAGTCAAGTCTCCGCAGATAAGGAGAGAATCAGTATGGAACATATCCTGCTCGTCAGCTCCAGGCCTTCTCATTTATTGAGTATCAAGACGAAGACGACACCCGAGCTGACGAGCAAGGACCTGCAAGGACCTGGGCCAGTGGCAGGCGCCCTTGGAGCGCGGGAGCAGGATTCCACCTCGCGGCGTCCGCATGTTTCTGCTCGTCTACCATTAGGGCTGACCCCGGTATATCAGATCGTGTCCGTTCGCTCGAATGCGACGTTTCTTTAGCATTCACGGAGCATCCGCGAGCAGGTATGCTTCTTCATGTCTACTCGAAGGCATCAGCAGGCTTATATGTCCCGATTAGTTAATTCCTCATTAGACCACGCTTGGCTCTGACTATCGCGGGAGGGAAATGTGGTCATGGTCAGGACGGCCGATCGAACCCTACGACCGGCGGCGCAGCTGGCCATGTTCCGGCTCATTAGTCTGAGTAATGCATTCACCAGACGAGGACACCGGGATGAGGCCCGCACAAGCGTCGGCCTTCCTAGGCTATGCAAGTGCCGTGTCTAGTTAACTGGAGGAATGTCAGCCTGTCGTACGTATTCTCGCAGGGAACGATTTTGCCCGGTCGCGATGCTTTCGCCGCGCCTGCGGCCGCATCTCCAGGATGGTTACGCACGAGTCTGGCTTCATGCAATGACGGTATGTGGCCCTCTGCAACGAAATCGGGATAGATCATTGATTTCGAATCGCCATGCGTTTATAGGCTTACTCATCGGGCATGATAACGCGGCGATACGTGTGCGGCGCCAGTGGACGTTTGGCAGAACTCTGCACGTCCATCATATCAGCTCGCGGCGAGCTGTCTTCTATCCTACGCCCATACTCACGCCCGGCGTGTCGACTTCCGTGGCGGTTGACGCGGCGCGAGTGATTCAGGGAACGGGGGCGCCGTATCCTGGCCAGTGGTGGGGCGACAGGGTGGTACGGGCGATGCAAGCAAGCGCGCTGCTGCCGAAGGCTCGATGATCGTCGCTGCCTGCGGTGTCAGGTGAAGGATGGCACAGAGTGCGCGCGCTCTGCTGCTGCTGCTGGCCAGACGAGTGCATGTCCGCGGCGGTCGGCCTCCGGGGAGGGATCCGAGGAGGGCTGGAACGGGAGGGTGGTATCGAGACGCGTTGAGCGTGCGTGCTTCAACATCGATTCACGGAGACGTTAGCGCTGATTCTGTTTCCCTTTTAGCCTTTGCTGGGAGGCTCGAAGACTGCAGCCGGGGTATGATATACTCGGCGGGCGCTGGGCCATCTCGGCGCGCCTATCAGGAGACGGGCAGCTTCTCGCGCTCATCCGCAGAAGGGTGATACGGATGGTGACCGCAGGGGGTGCTCCGCCCGCCACAACGCTCGCCACGCCTCGAGGCCTCTCCCAGAGCGGAAGCCGCCTCGACGCGGACGGGGGTGATAGTGCGAGTCATGGGGCCTGTTTCTGGGAATCCGACCCGTCGAGGACGCTCCCTGGGCTGCAGGGACGGAAAGAGAGTGTGGGTGCACAGTGCAGTGCATCCAGGAACGGTAGGTGGATGTGTGAGGGGATGAATGGAGGGCGTGGACGGGGAAGCCGGGGTCACAGATGGGCGAATAGAGTTGTGCGCTTCGCGTTCGCAGCGCGCCGCGAGCATATCACTGGGCCCTGCGCCGGAGGCTCCCCGCTGTCCGGCATTCAAATCCGTCTCCTCCTCCTTGTGCCCACTCTCCTTTCGTCTCCCCTCTCCGTCTCCGCCTCGCACGCCAACTGCTGCCTTTCTTTCCTTTTGCCCTTGTTCTCTGTCCTCGCCGCGCTCGCGCCGCCGCGACTTATTACTTCGTTCACCCTCGCTCGTCTGCTGCACTGCTCGCACACCACTCGCCACGCTATGGCAAACTCTCAGGGGACCGGCACCACGCTGTCGGACAACAGCCGCAGCGACCTCGTCGAGAAACCCGAGGACGCCGAGCCGCAGCCCCCCGACCTCACCCCGCCCGACGGTGGCTTGACTGCCTGGCTCACCGTTGCCGGCGCGTGCGTACTTTCTACACCCTTTTCCTGAATGCCGGATGATCGTTGACTGGACTCTGTGCAGATGGATGGTACAGTTTTCGACATTCGGGTGAGTGCTCCGCGATCAAGTTTGTTCCCTTGCTGCAGGCACACACACCTGTGCCTCCCTGGCCTAGCCATCCCTGTGGGTGCCGCAGGGGTGTGGAGGCCGGACGTTCCCCTCGCCACAGCAACGCTTGGGAGGGGTTGAAGCTTGACGCCACGCGTCTTCTCTTCGCATCCTCTTCGGCTTGCTTCCTAGTCGTACGATCATCCCCTCATAACCGGCTCACCGTGCGCTGGACAATTGCCAGAGAGCCAGGCGCATCCCACCCGGGGCGGTGGAAACGTCGGGAGTAGACGGAAAGGCTGCGCAAGACATGTGACGAAGGCGAACCGTCTGCCAGATTAGAGTTCGACCACCGTGGAATTCGTCCCACAGCATCTGGACACCCTCCGCACGTACGCAGGTGTGCTCGTTATGCTCAATGACGCCGGCCTGGAAATTGACAGCACGAGCGGGTGGCGCGACACAGCGCAGACGGGCGCCGCGTGCATTTTTCAAGCAGGTCGAGAACCACCATTTCTTTCCCTGCTGTCGACAGCCCATTCATTCATTCCATGACATGCTCATTTAGCTCCGTTACAGGTACCTCAACGCCTTCGGTGTCTACCAAGGTATGCCTTCGCGCCACTTCTCACTTCTCTGCTACAGCTTCTCGCAGATTACTACACCCGCACATTCCTCTCCCACGTTTCCCCCTCCAACATCAGGTGCGGTCATCCTGCCTTCTCCCGCACGCCAATAATCTCAGCGAAATTGCTTTACACAGCTGGATCGGCAGCGTCCAGCTCTTTCTGATGTACGCTCCGGCCGTGTTCGTCGGGAGCGCCTTTGATTCCGGCTACTTGTACGTTGTGGGTCCAACGCGCATCATGTGGCCGGCCACTAACAGCCACCCGCGATCCCAGCCACTATGTCCAGATCACCGGATCCTGCCTTCTCGTCTTTTCTATATTCATGCTCTCACTCGTCCAGCCAGATCAGTACTACCAGGTCTTCCTCGCGCAGGGCCTTGGGATCGGCCTCGGAGTCGGTCTCCTCTTTCTCCCGTCTCTCAGCATCGTCGCGCATCACTTCCGGCGCCGCCGCGCGCTCGCGACCGGCCTTGTCGTCAGCGGCGCGTCCTGTGGGGGTATCGTCTACCCCATATTGCTCAACCACCTGTTCGAGAACCCGAAGATGGGGTTTGCGAACGGCGTGCGCGTGAGCGGCGGGCTCGTAAGCGGCCTGCTCTTCATCGCGAACTGCCTCATGCGCACGCGCCTGCCGCCGAAACGTGGAAGCGCTATATTCACTCGTCATGGGATGCTGCACATCGCGAGCGATGGCGCGTACATGTGGTCTATCGCGGGGTGCGTACAGCCAGTACTCCTAATAAGCGACGTCCACAAAGGCTGACGCGCCGCTCTGCAGCGCATTCTGCACGAACCTCGGCCTGTTCGTCCCATGTGAGTAACCGAATATACTCGCGGCCAGTTAGGCGTCCGACATGACCAGGACCAGTCTTCTATCTCCAGCTCTTCGCCGTCGACCACCGCGTCTCTCCGGCAATCACAACGTATATCGTACGTTCCTCGCACTACCCACGCACCGGACGGCAGCCTGACCGACGCCGCGCACCTGCAGCTCGCGATCCTCAACGCGGGGAGCACGCTGGGCCGGATCCTGCCCATGGCGCTCGCAGACAGGCTCGGGGTGTACAACATGCTGCTCCCCGCGATCCTCACGTCCGCCGTGCTGCTGTTCGCGCTGTTCGGCGCGGCGGACACCGGCGGCGTCGTCGCCGTCGCTGCGCTCTTCGGGTTCTCGTCGGGCGCGTGTACGTATAAGTGCTGCACTCTCGTGTTCGCCTCAATGAAGCTAACTCTACTCTTTCCTGATGTGGAACCGACCGCGGTTGCCTTGCTGACCGTGCGTGCCCTTCACTGCAGACGTGTCGCTCATTCCTCCGCTGCTCGGGACCCTGTGCACGGATCTCAGCGAGCTCGGGTGCGTGCGTCGTCTACCTCTTCGAGCCAAGTGCTCATGTCTTCGCTTTCATTCACTCCGCCTCTCGTCCATGCCCTCCGTTCATCTCCGCGCCGCCCTCGCGCATCCCGGACCTCTGACCGGTCTGGCTACACACGCGGGCTGGTGAACGCGGTGGGTGGTGCAGGCTGCGGATGGGCCTCGCGTTCTCGATCGTGGGCACGTCCATGCTCGTCGGCACGCCCGTGTTCGGGGCCCTACTGGACAGCGCGTCCGCGCCCGGCTCCCGCGTCTGGTGGCGCGCCATCGTCTTCGCCGGGGTGCGTTCTCTTCCTGCCTTTTCTGCCGGCGCATCCTCCGTCTCCGAGTGAACTGCTCAGCTGACGTGCGTTCCGTTCTCTGCACCCGTTCCGACGCTACGATCGCGCGGTCACCAGGTGTGCATCGTGGCCGGGTTCGTGTGCATGGCCGTCTCGCGGGCTCTCTTCGTGCGCCGGCGCGTGCGGGATCGACGACTCAGCGCGGCCGCCGCAGGGGTGTAGAGGTGACGTCGGCGAGCGCTCGGGCGGGAGGAAGGCCGCGCGAGACTCAAGGGGACGTTCTATAGTACCTACTTATCTGTCGTATCTATGTATACACAAATACCGTATTGTACACCGTCTAACTGTTCCTGTTCCGTGCTATCATACAGTGAGAGTTGAGAGTACGAGCCCGAATAGTGAGTAGTTGAAGTCATGTATGAGCGACATAATGCTAAGAAACTCTGTACACCGCCCGCCGCGCCAGATGCACACACCCTCGCCACCTACGCCTGCGCCTGCGCCTTCTGCTCGACGACCCTGCTCACCACAAACGGGCCCTCCACCGGGATCGTATGTATGCTGTCCGTGACATGCCGCCACGACCCGACGAGGTTCACGCCGCCCAGGAGGTACCCGCGGAACACGTACGGCTCGAGGCGCTCCGGGAACGGGCTCAGGTGGTGCGGGTCGGGCGCGGGCGTGCGCACGAGCACGACGAGCCCGTCCCAGCTGCGCACGCGGCCGTAGAGGCAGTAGTTGCCCCACGCGAGCGCGTGGTGGGTCTGCGTCTGCATCACCAGAAAAGCGGTATCAGCAGCGAGTCGGCAGCGCATAGAGGGGAAGACGTACCTCGCCGGTGATGATGATGTCGCGGTGGTCGTCGCGGTCCGGCGTAGGGCTGTCGCTCGAGCTGGACCGCGAGCTGGGGTCGTCGCTGTCGCTCACCATGCTGTCGATGAGCTCGTCGACGTCCATGTTCTCCCCAAGCACCGCCTGCACCTCGCGGCGCGCGCGGCCCACCCGCTCCTCGTCCTCGTCCCCGTCCCCATCCCCCATCCCCCATCCCCGTCCACCATCTCCACGTCCTCGACCCACCCCACCCGCCCCTGCTTCGCCTTCTCCGCCCCCGCGACATACGTATCATACACCCACTGCCTCCCCCGCCCGCGCAGCGCAATGCTTAGCGTCTCACCCATCTCCACCGCAGAATACCCCTCAGGCCACCCGCGCGGGAAATACGCGTTCATAATCCCCTCATCCAGCGGGTCGCGGTACTGCACATCCCAATGCGGGAGCGCACTCGCCCGTCCACCCCTCCGCGCGCGGGCGCGGTGCTCGCGCAGCGTGAAGAACAGCGGGTTCTCAGTAACATCCGGCCTGTCCGGCTGCGCGAGCTCCGCGTCGAACTCGCGCGCGTTCGTCGCGTGCGTGTATTCGTGTCCGTCCGGGTCCTGCGTGGCCCGTCCGCGTAAGCACTGACTCGCACACGGAACGACGCGACGCGACTCACCAAGGACCGCCCCGCCCAGTTGCCGGTGAGGCTGCCGAAGGTGTATACCGCGCTGCGGTCCCGCGACGGCGCACCCCAGGGGTTGAAGCACCCGCGCCAGCGCGCCCAGTCGTTATCGTGCGACTCGCTCGCACCAGCATGGCGCATGGCGAGATCTAAACCACCACGGACAGGGTACCGAGCCGCCTTAGTGCGCGCGAACTCAATGTAGTCCGCGCGGGTCGGGCCGCGTGCGCCCAGCAGCACGGCCTCCTCGCGGTCGTCCGGAATCGGCTGGTCGACATCGATCGGCTTGTGCTCCTGCAGCGCGATGTAGAGGAGCTTCGCGATGAGCCCAATGGGCGGCTCCGCGAGCGTGAGCGCGCGGCCGTAGTGGCGGAACGTGTGCTTGCAGAGCGCGGGCTCGCGGTAGAGCGGGTAGTAGCCGTGCGGGGTGACGGTGGAATGCTCGCGGTACGCCTCAGGGCTGCCGGGGAGCGGGAGGTTCGCGTGGTTGTCTGGGGCGAGGAAGGGCGGGTAGCGGAAGCCGTACAGGGCGTAGGGCCGGACGAGCGCCATGAGCTGCGCGCGCTCTTCGGCGGTCTTGGACGCGAACCGTTCTAGCGTACGCACATGTGGGTGACTGGGTGAATATATAATTTGGAACGAGCGCACCTTGGGAGGACGAGTACCAGTACAGCCACAGCACGAGCGAGTTTGTGACATCCTCCACCGGCCACCCACTAGAGCTGTTGGACTCGGACTCTTCCCAGAGGCGCTCGAGGATGAATTGTTCCGCGTACTCGAAGAGGTGCGCCCACTCGAGCTGCGCGGCGTTCTTGCCGTCGTTTTCCAGACACATGGCGAACGCGCGCAGGAAGTCGGTTACAAGCGTAGGCGAGTCGATGTCCCCGCGGCGGATGTTACGGAGGGCGGTGCAGTATTTGGGCAGCTGCGCGGCGAGCGCGCTGGACTGGCCCGCTTTCGGGCCCATACGACGCGGTGCCGCGCGCGAGTCGAACTTGGCGGCGTAGATGCGCGCGTAGAGGTAGACATTGTTCCGTCTGCAGAGGACAGCATTGAGGTGCTGGCAGGTGCACAGCAGCGGTATGAGATGCACGGGTGGACCGAGGACGTCTGAGAGCGCGACGTGGAACGCGATCTCCTCAAGAACGTCCGGTGGGAGTGCGCAGAGAGATACACGTGGGGCGTGCATGACGGCGGTGGGTGGGAAGGGAGGGGGGAGATAGCGGCATGGCGTCGCGCAGGCGGTGTTTAAGAGCAGAGGCGTCTGGGCGGAGTGGGAGAAGAGAAGCGTCGAGGGTGCGTGGACTGGAGGAGGTCGGGGAGGGCGGCGAATGAGAGCAATGTCGCGAGATTGAAGATTCGAGCGAGCCCCTTACGGCACCCTTTTGATCGGCGAACTACGAAACTTGCCTTTCCCGGCGTGTCGCCGTCCGCGGCGGCGTCCCTGGGCGATATTGCCACTCGATAGCTACCGCTTTCTCGCATCCCCTTGCCTTTCTCAGGACGCCCCCGATTTCCTCGTGGCGGGCGTGCTCGCCCCGCAAGTTCCCATTGGCCCGCCCCGCCGCGGTCCGCACACCCCGGACGCACAAACACTCTTCGCCGGCCACACAACTTCTCGGATGTTCGCGGGAGACCCCCCGGGCGATCTGCATCGTCAACTCCCGCCGGCCCAGACGTGGCGACCGAGTGCGCAGGGAGGAGCTGCCCACTCGCCGAACAGAGGACGCCAACGTAACTCGGCTGTGCTTCGTTCACACACCAGCTTCCGCGACACGATGCCACTCCAGCGCAGCTTCTCTGCCCGCCGTCCTTCTCGGCCCATCTAGCAGCAGACCTGATATAACTGCCAGCCTGGGCTCGTGCTCGCCGCCCGTGTAAGTAAATCTTGACACACAGAACGGCGTCTTGCCTTCTCATCATTTCTGTCAGGGACACTTTGGCGACGCTTCACTTCGTCGGCGCGCTGGGCACTTGCGCTAGCTTCCCTGTCAAGGGCGCCGTCCTTGCATCTCTCCTCGGTTCCTCGGCCGATGCAGACGTCTGTGGGTGCTATTTGCGTGTGGTGCCGGCGACTTAGCATCGCGAATACGTCGTCGGCCAATATCTGACCGCCTTAACTCCCCAGAATCACCCGAACATCGAGCAGGACCGTCCGCAATGTTGTGTTCCACGGTCCACAATTCACGAGTAGGCAGCTACTGTCGCTCGTATAGCGTTGCAATTCCGCCGCCTCCGAAGATCACTGTCTACTACTGCCGTCAAGGGTCGCACCAACCGCGGAACGATCAACCCGCGCAGACACGGCCTTTGCCACTGACGTAGGTCTCTACCAACCCCCCACGCCATCCTGACACGCTGTCTGCCAAACAGGCTCTCTTTTCCTCAGGGACCCGCGCCGAGCTGGCCAGCGCAGCACCCCCAGCCTGCGCCTCGACCCGCCCGGCGCAGACAGCAGTACGGCATAGGACGTTCGCGTTCATTTCCGAGCTTTACCAACGCCCACAGGCCCCGCCGCCATTGGCCGAGCGGGCAACGCGTGCGGCTGAGAAAATCCGCCCCCCTAGGTTCACGGCCGATAGTCGCTCCCCCGCGCAGGACTCCGAGTCGAGAAGGCAGCACCGGCCGTCGCGCTCAGGCGGGCTCGCTTCTGGGGGTGCCCGGTGCGATGCTCCCACCCCCGCATGCGCTCTATTTTGGCCAGCAGTCAGATGGACGGACGGCGCTGCGGGGTAGACCAGTGCGCGGTTCGTAGAGTTTGCGGTGGCGGCGCATCGCGCGGGGACCTGTTCAGGGATGGTCGCTTATGGCGATGGTGTCCCGGCGAAGACCCTGCTCCAGGGCAGAGAAGGCGCACCCCGCGCTGCTGTGTTCAGCGAAACTAACCCTCTGGCGAGTAGGCTGATTGCTCGTACGTACTGCACCTTCGCAGCTATCGTGCACGAACGAAAGGCCGGTCCCTCCGTGCGCGTCGCGCGAGAGGGCTCGGGCAAGGGCGCTCAAGTGCGCACAGCGCGGGTGGCACGTCGGGAAGCCTATACGCGCGTCCACATCCCGCCGCGGGAGGCCCCGGTATGAACGCGTTTCCAAACGGAGAGCGCACGACGTAAACACAGCTTCGAGGCGCGATCGAGATCGTCGCGCCCCGCCAGTCTGATCTCCGTCGTGTCCTCCGGGCACTCTCTCCTGGCGCGTGCAGTCCGGGGCCTCGACCGGTATGCGCGAACTAGCGCGGGGCGTATCTGCACTCAGGGTGCTTGGCGGGCGGGCGCGTCACGGGTGCGGTGCGCATGCTCCGGCCTATCGCGCGCGTGCAGGTCCCCGGAGCGCCCGCGAACGTCGAAGGTGCGTCGTTCGCGGCGAGGCGTGAACCTTGTCTTACATACGCCGGTGGCACTCATCAGCAGGTCGATGCGCGGGCCCGTTCGCACGCGCGGCCCACCTCCCACGCGCATCCCCTCTCCTCATTTTTACCTAAACGGATGCGCTGGGGCTTCCAGCCGCGCAGCCGCCGACGAACGACGTTGGGCGCGCGGGCGGGTTCCGGGCGGGGGCGAGGCACGCACGTTCGTGCGCTCCGTCCTGCGTTCTGCATTCTGCACGATCGCGCGCGCGCTCCGGGGGCTTTCATGCGCCCATCGCTTCGTGGGGCTTCTGCGAGCGCCGAGTGCGCACGGGGGCGCGCATCAGGGCCCTGTTGCCAGCAGGCGTTATCTGGTGTGCGATTGAGGACGGATCGAGGACGATGCTCCCTCCACGTTCGGGGGCGGCTGCTGCTGCGCGGGTGAGTCACCGTCCCCTTCGAGCTCACAATAACGTCCTGCTCACGATATGGCGGAGACTCGCGAGGGGGCATCGCACACCTGGGCCAGACCTGCCCGTTTGGACACGGTCAGGTGGCCGTGCGAGCATTGCGAAACTCCGTCGCGTGCGACTCCGACCTGCGATTCCGGCCCAAGGGCCCTCCTCGCCATCCGTACGCAGACCAGTTCCTGCACCCGAGACACATCAGCGATAGACGAGTCTATGTACTAATAAGTCTTTCGAAGTGCACCAGAAGATGCACAGGGTGCTCGCCTATTCAGTTTGACTTTGCGCGAGTTTTCACTTCACTCCGCCAAGGTTCGTGAGGTTGCCAACCGCGACGAGATAACGGCTCGCAATTGTGAAGCGTGTACTCAGCGCGTCCCTGCTGACGAGTGCGAACCTCACGGTTGGGCGCGTCGAGCGCTGGCGGGTGCGCCGTAACGGGCGCTTCGACCTACCACTTCCTCCGACCTCCTCGCGCTTCCTCTGCGCGCACTCCGTCATGCGACTCCCTCGCTATCTGGCGATTGGACCATTCGGAACAACCTCAGCGCTCGTACTAGCGTCCGCGCGGTACGCTTGGGAAGCTCTGGCCCGGAAAACTCCCACCACGCCCACACGGCCAAACACTGCCAAACACTTGCGCCACCGCAGGACCAAGCGTTGGCGCGCTCGGTTCGGTTCGTTGCTTTGTCCACCAAAGACGCTTTGACCCTTTGTTCACAAGTGCCAAGGCCTTGTACATCGTTTTGACACACTTGGACCTCAAGTTGGCCCCAGGGGACGGCGGAACCGCGGTGCCACCCGCCTCTGCTCTCGTGCAGGGACAACGAGGCTAGGACGCTTCGGCAATACATCACCAGCATCAGGAAGCCATTTTCTGCAACTCAGCGACCTCCGCCATGCGCTTTGGGATATCCGGAACGACTCATCCCGTCTCCCGTATGGCTCACGAGGACCGCGACAAACGGGCCATTGTTCTTTATCTGATGACACCACGGTCGCGATGCGGTGCGGTCCTTGGTCCTGCGGAGTCCAAACCTTGACGGGCCCGGGTATATAAACCCTGCGTCCTCCCTCTCCCTCTTTCCTCCAGACCGCCAGTCACACCTCCTGGTACGTGTCTCCCCTTCCTCGCCCCCTTCCCTTCTCTTCCCTTCCCCCGCTTCGCTTCGCCCCTCCCGTGAGCTTCCCTCCCCTGCTTCCCTTCGCTGACGGCCCCTCCCCACAGTGCCAGGAGAATTTGGCACCTCGCCGTCACCCCCACTGCCAGGGCCTGCGCCAGCCGGCGCGATTGCCGCTGCGGGCACGATTGCCAATCGCACACCCCTCGAGCACGCCGGGTGCCGTCGAGCCTTATTGCCGGCCTGCAGGCGCACGCAGTTAAGCATTGCGCCCTGCAGCCAAGACGCCGGCGAAGACACCGCAACAGGGCGACGGGAGTCCAGCGCCGAAGAAGAGAGCCCCAAACGGGCGGTGACCAGCAAGCGCGCGTGGTAGGGGGCGGCTGGGGAAGGGTCCCGGGGCGTGGTGCAGGCCTTCTCGTGGCCCCCGGGGTGAGTACCCGTCGGCGGCGCCGCGCGAGCGGCGGCCGTGGCGGGGAAACCAACGTGCACCTCATGGTTTGTATTCGCGACGCGATCGGCGCGATGGGAGTCGGGCGCGCTCCGGCTGACGTCCCCGAGCAGATCCCCTGCGGCTTCGACGACGCGGTAGATCGTGATCGACGTGTGCAGGGCACGAAGTTGGCGAGACGGGCGTGAGAATGGGAGCGCGAGTATGGTAGCGTAGCCGTTCCGACATTGTATTCCCGCCGCTTGTTATCGTATTTCCCTCGTCCTCGACGCGCTTCGTCCCCAAGCTCTTCGGGTGTTACGCGCGTGCTTCCTCTTGCTCGGGACCGATGTGAGATTTCCGACCCGCTCGCTGGCGAGATTTGTGTTGGCGCGAGTAGGAGCACGAACTCGAACGCTTCCCACATCCTCCGCGTACGAGCGTACCGGGCGGGCCTTGCGCTCAAGTCTCGCCGCCCACGCTGCTGCAACAAATGTCGGAATGAGCATGCGGTCGTTCTGTTTGAAGGCACCGTCCCTGAATCACCGAAAGATGCTTTCTGGAGTCAGGGCGACGGCGTTGTTCGTCCTGGGTCCCATTGTGCTGTAGGCGCTCGAACCGCCCATTGTTCGCCTCATCGGGCGGCATCGACGGCGAGCAATATTTCGACCCTCCTCATCCCTACTACAGTCTCCTTAGTATGCGCACCTTCTATACGGCTTCAGTTCCGGTATCGTGCCACAGGGATGGCGTTCCCTGAAGCCTCGTTATGAGTACTACTGGTCCTCCACGGTACGCCCGTACTCGGCGCTAGCGGCACATCTACCGGAGGTGTTCGTACTCCAACCTGCAAAGACATCACCTCAACAGGAGCCTAGCAAGCACGTACAGCATACCACGGTGGTTATGTCCCGTTTCACGACCACCGTTGATAGTCAGATAAACCGTCTGGAGAGCCTTCATCCCACCGAGCTCATCTGCATTCCCCCCGCCTTACTCCATTCTACACGCTCCGCACATCTCTAGCCTCAGGTCCCTGGAATGCGTATACCTGTAGGAGACTCCCGGCTTCATCTCTTGTCCATTCCTGCGGTTGATGCCTCTCTACGCTCCATTCCTCTTCATTTCCCCGGCCCAACCCCGACATCCACAGGCAACCCACCCCCAGCACGATCCAATATGTCGCGTACTCATGTATACGCGGTATTCTCCTAGTCTATCAGGACTCTTGGGTGGCAAGCTAGTCGCAAAGCCTGTCGGAAGCCACGGAGACGACTACCGTCCAAGATCCATGGTCCTTTGGCCAGCGGCCGCTCAACGACATCCCTCACTGGGCTACCTGGTGCGCAATGGTCAGCCAATGGTTCCTCCATTTGCATAAGAGGGTACGTACCTGTCTGGCATATATACTGGTCGTCCGCCGCCACAGAACGGAGGTGTACGCCCGAGTCCAACTACCCGCCATGCTTGGTTCAGTCGTCGTTCTCTCGATCCTCGCCGCCCAAGTGCTTGCCCACTGTGAGTACACCCGCGTCCCGGTTTTCTCTCCCTTCCTAAACACCTCGCGTCCGAAGACACGTTCCCCAGCCTGATCGTCGACGGCGTCAAGACCGAGCCGTGGGTCAACGTCCGCATGACGAACAACCACTACAGCCAGGCCCCCGTACGTCTCCTCCCATCTACGCGCCCGCATTCCCCTCGCACCCTCCGCCGCGCCCCAGCACTGATATCCCCGCCCGCAGGTGACGAACGTCACAAGCCCCGACCTCCGCTGCTACACCTCATCCACCAACGCCACCGCACGCACCATCTCCCTCCCCGCCGGCGCCCCGCTCGGGCTCGCCTGCGACCAGACGCTCTACCATCCGGGCGTCGTCAACGTCTACATGGCGCGCGCGCGCGCACGCACCGACGTCGCGCAGTGGGATGGCGACGGACAGGTGTGGTTCAAGGCGCACGAGATCACGGCGGTGACGGATGGGGGGAAGAGCATCGCGTGGCCCGCGCAGGGCTTAGGGAGCGTGAACTTCACGCTGCCGCGCGCGCTGCCTGCGGGGCAGTATCTGGTACGGGTGGAGGCGATCGCGCTGCATGAGGCGGAGCGGGTGGGTGGGGCGCAGTTCTATGTGAGTGCTTTAAGTTTTCTCGGGGCTTCGTGGCGTATGGCGGGTTTGGTAGGGGATAGGGCTGATGTGCGTCTGCCGTCGGTGTGCCAGATCGCGTGTGGGCAGATCAACGTCACGGGCGGAGGGAGCGGCAAGCCTGGTCCTTTGGTGGCCATCCCGGGGGTGTACACTGGCAAGGTGAGTTACGATGCTAATCATCATTTGCGCGCCGAGTGGACCGCTGCCGACCGCTGACCCCACATTTCGTGCTGTCGCAGGAGCCGGGAATCCTGATCGACATCAACGTGAGTTGCTCCGTTCTGTCCTCTCCGAACTGGTGGTGGTACTGACGTGGAGATGCGCTCTTGCTACGCAGTGGCCCATTCCGAAGAACTACACCCAACCCGGCCCGGTGAGCACTTCGTACTGGTTGTGTTGGGCGTAGTGGTGGATACTGACGCTGCCGTGATAGCTCGTCTGGACTGGTTGAAGAAGCGAAGCTCGCTGGTTGACCGGGAGCACCTCTTCGGGAAGCTGCAACCCCGGTTGTCGCGAAACGCCTAAGTTGTCTATGTACTTTATCTGAACTCGTGTCAATTATGCATCATCTCATCTCTCTTACGACGAGGAGCCGGCCGCGGCGTGGTGCAAACGAGGCCTCATAGTAAGCAAGCATCCAAGAACGCAGTCCATGAGATATCAGTCTGCCGAATTATACTGTACAATCGCGCGCATCCAGCGTCCCCAGTCCAGTCTCAAGACATTTCCTCACCGCTACGATCCTACCGCGGGTTCAGCTGCCAGCGGATGCTGCTGCTGTGGTGGTTGTGACAGTACACCAGAACTCTTGCGCGTTGTCGGTCGGCCTGGTACCGGACTCGACTTGCGCGACCCCGAGGGCGTGCCGCCCACACTCCCCTGCCCCCGCCCTCTCACCGACCCCTGGCTCCCACTCCACCGCTTCTCCTTCTCCCGCTCGGTTCCAGCCCCCGCACTCACCGGCGTCGCCGCGCCTGATCCCGCTGCCCCACCCGTTGCGCCATCTCCCCGCGGCAAGAGGTAGGAAAAGGGCAAGCGCAGGAGCATCGAGCGCGGCCATGTCTGGGCCCTCGCCGCGCGCTCGCGCTCGGCCCGCCGCCGCTCGAACTGTGCGCGGTAGCGGTCGTAAGCGTCGCGGAAGGAGCGGTCGACGCGAGAGGAGAAGATGAGCTCGCCGCGCGGGTTTGCGGCGGGCGGGATTGGCGGGATGGGCACTGAGGAGGCGCGGCGCGCAGGACGAGATGGGGACGGGCTGCGCGTGCGTTTCGTGCCCGCAGCCGAGGAAGAGGAGGTGGGGGATGTAGGCATGGAGGGCGTTGGGCGCGCGAAGAGGAAGGCGAAGGGGTTGAAGGGGAGCTTGGAGCGCAGCGGCGGCTGGCGCATGTTGAGGTACATGTTGAAGTTGCGCAGGGCGCGGTTCGCATGTGGGACGTACCTGTTCGGTGCACGATGGGGACGTGCCGGATGAGGAAGGGGTGCAATAGGAAGTCGAGAATCAGTGAGCGGCGAAACATGCCTCGAGGGTGAGGGGACGTACTTGTTCGCATACCCGATCTTCTCCGAGTACAACCCGGTCGCAAAGAACAGCACGAGCGTCGTGACCGCCACAAACAGCAGCCCGGACGCAAAGTACGGGTGCACGCGCACGACCGCCGTCTGCGTATATAGATCCGGCAGCGCGCGCCTGAGGAGCCATGTATACGGCACGCCCAGGAGGTTCGTCTGCAGCAGGACCTCGCACAGCAGAAACGCAATAATGAGCAGTAGCTGCACGAGGAACACTGGCGGCAGCAGACGTGAGTGAGCGCGAGCACGGCGGGGCGGCTCACGCACGTTGGTAGCGGCGTTTCCGGCGGTTCAGCGACGCCGCGTTCGACTTGAGACGCTCCTCGAAGAGCAGCAGGTCGCGATACGTCGCGGCATCGTTAGGTGGGTAGAACGAGTTAGCGGAGGACGGGGGCGCGGGGCGCGGGGCCATTGAGCGGGGTGCGTTAGTGGTGGTACGAGGGAGAGCCGCACACGCCGAGCGCCTGTGTTTGGCTCAGGCTGCGCGCCCGGCGCTCCAGCTCGCGAGTGTATGTAAATTAAAGGTCAAGTTCACATTGGTTAATGACTACTACAAGAATCCTCCAAGATCCGTCCGACAATGCTACGTATCTGTAAGGTATGCGATCCAGGGAGTGTGTACGTATGTGCGAGTTCGCCGCGGGCGAGCCGCCGCCGGACGACCAAGGTCCGCGCCGGCAGCCGCCGCCTGCGACGAGCGGGATATCTGCAAGGAAAAGGGCCATATGCAATGCAAGTGAGGGAGAAGTAATGCGGGTGATGCGAGGGTTCAGTGATCAGAAATCCATGCGAGAACTGTGAGTGAGGACGCCGCGCGAACGAAGGCTGCCGGAGGAGGAACAGCTGGAGGACCTGGGAAGAGCGACGCTACGCAGTGAGCGCACGGCGCGCACCCTCCCCGCCCTCGCCCCCACTACCGCCAATGAGCACCGTCATCCACCCAAACATCGTCATCAAAAAGCGCACGAGCCACGCCGAGTCCGCGCCCAACCCCAGGCCCGGCCTTAGCTGCAGCGCGAACGCAATGTCCAGCGGCTGCCGCGGGCGCGGGCGCGACTGCGACGACGGCTGCGGGCGCTGTACCTCGACCATCATCTCCTCGTCCGAGAAGAGCGCTCCGGGGAGCTGCGGGCCCGGGGACGGCGCGCGCATGGGCGAGCCGGAGCCGGAGAGGCCGAGCGCAGGCGCGTCGGCGGCGCGCAGCGACCAGAGCGGTTTCGAGGACGGCGAGGACGGGAGCTCGCGCATCTGGATGGGCGAGGGCGCAGGACTCGCGAGTGGGGTCGCGAACGGGGTGGGCCGCGCGTGGTCGGGCAGGGGCAGGAGGTCCGGGTCGGCGTGGGTGTCGTCGATGACGATCTGCGGCAGCGCGGGCTTCGCAGCGCCGTCGTCCCCGTCGTACGCGGGCGGGAGGTCCGGGTCGAGGAAGAGCAGCGAGTGCTCGGGCGCGTCTTCGAATTTCTCGTCGGGGTCCACGGCGGACTCGGAGTAGATGTCGGAGGCGCCGTCCATCTTCTCGTTCAGCTTCTCGTCGAGGATCAGGGCGGGGAGAAGGGTGTCGCCTGTGAGCAGGCGGGGTTTGCCAGGGCGCGGCGTGCTGCCCCCGCCGTCGCCGCCACCGGTCGGGAGGTCGTCGGGACCGTCGAGGCCGACGCGGCGCTCGAGGCGCGGGAGGATGTCCCAGGCGAGGTCGGACTTGAGCATGAACGACCGGAGGTGGGTGAGCGCGTAGATGCCTGCTCCGATGCAAAGCATAGAGAGGAAGGCGGCGATGCAGGAGACGGCGATGATGATGAGCGGCGGAGAGACGTGGAGGTCCGGGGCGCCGACGGTGGGGTATTCCGCGTCCTGGGCAGGCTCTTCGTCGGCCAGAGGTTCGACGTTACTGGCGACAAGCTCTACCGGAGTAGGGCGCTCGCCGTCGAGAGCGTCGAGGGAGGTGGGGTCGGTGTTCTGGAGGTTCTTTAATATGTCGTAAAGCTCCTTCTCGTCGTCGGTGGGGGTGCCACCGACGGCGAGAGGGATGACAGCCTTGATGGCGTCGAGGTCGTTAAGGCGGGAGAGGAAGGCGGACTGCTCTTCGTCGGAGGTGAGGGAGATGTGTACGTCATCTTCCTCGACGTGAGCGAGGTAGTCCTGACGTTGTCTAAGGGTGCGGGTGAGTATTGCGCGACTATTTGGGGCAAGTACAGCTTATAGAACATTTGGAGCATACGGGGAAAAGGATAGACGAGCGGCAGGCGAAGGTGTGGACGGCCATAGCTGGGCTCTCCGCCCTCGTCCGTGGATTGTGCATGAGGTCATTACGAAACGTCCCGGTGTCCTGACATTAGCGGAAGGATGACCTGCGCCGACAGGCACCGAGCATGCAGATCTGTCCAACACGGAGGGTGTACAAATAGACGCAGATATCAACGACACTCGTATAACAGACGTTTGACAGGAACTAGCGTGTAGATTGACCGGTCGAGGTGTGGGGAGGGAGGGAGAGATGTCACCCACGCGCAAGAGATGCACGCGAAAGAAGCAGGGAAATTAACGGATTGATCGAGACTCACCCTGTGCGAGAAGCTAGGAAAGCCTGTACGGCGTTCTGTACGGCGAGCGACTTTCTTACCCTACCATGTGCGCCGTGGTCAATCTCGTTGCTGGGAGATGGCCGAGGTGAACCACTCACGATTGTGGCGCGTCCGAGATGGGACGAGCGGTGACGACCAGCGCGAGGAGGGAGAACGAGACGAGGATATTGAGAGTCATCGCGGCCGAGGCGCGCTGATGAGTTCTCTCAGAGCTGCGGGATGCTCGCCACGGTCGAACGTGTCGAGGGAGGTGTGTCGGGCGACGATGGAGGTGGTGGTGGTGGCCTCGAGGACAGCACGCCTCCCCAGCCAGCGTCCACTCGGCATTTCCCCGCATGACGTGGTCAACTACTTACCGGCCCGAAATATATTCCCGAAATATCTAACGCCCGATCTGCCGACGCGCGCCTGTGGACGCTGTCCGTCGGCAGCGGCCACTCTCTTCCTCGCCGTCCTCGCCGTCCGCCTCGTCGTCCTCCTCGTTCGTTCTCCTTCTTGTCGTCGTCTGTCGCTGGGTCCCCTCGCTGAGCTAGTCGTACGGCTCTGAGGCAAATTTATCGCACCCCTGGTTATCTACACCCGCCGCATACCATGGCCAACCTCGCCCAGTCGTTTCTTCGCGCCTCTCTCCGCGCATCTTCGTCGACCGCGCCTGCACACATACCACGGCCTCGCGCGGCCCAAACCTCGAGCTCCTACCACTCATATGCACACGCACAAACTCGCCCTCGCGCGTTTGCAAGGATGAGTGCTGCCGCAGAGTTTGCTAGACCTCCTATAAACCGACCGCTAGGCCGCCCTCTCCGCCGTGGCTTTCACAGTACAAGGGGTGCGCATACTTCTACTTCTGTCGTCTTCGCCCTCGTTCTGACCCACCTCAATCCAGCTGCCCACCACGGAGGTATCGAACGCCCCGAGCCCGGCACTGGGTACGCTCACCCCCATCTACCCGCAGACCCCGCCCTAACCAGCCAAGGGTAGCATCAAGGTGCACTTCAAAGACGCCAAGGGCAACCTGATCCGGACCGTAGAGGCAAACGAGGGCGACGACCTGCTCGGCATCGCGCACGAGTACGACATCGACCTCGAAGGTGCGCACCCGTCCCCGCCGCTCCTCCTCCATCCCGCACTAACACCCACCAGGCGCATGCGAGGGCTCTGTCGCGTGCTCGACATGTCACGTCATCCTCGACCCCGAGAGCTACGACAAGGTCCCCGAGCCCGAGGTTCGTCCCCGTCCCCCTCTCCCATCCCCCTCTCACCTCTCGTCGTCACATCTAACGGCATTGGCACGCAGGACGACGAGAACGACATGCTCGACATGGCGTTCGGGCTCACCGACACCTCCCGGCTCGGCTGCCAAGTGCGGCTCACAAAAGAGCTCGACGGCCTCACGGCCACGCTCCCCGCCGCGACGCGGAACATGTTCGTAGACGGTGCGCCTCCCTAGGCCTTCGCCCCACCCCCAGCCCGGATGTGTTTCGCTGACTTGGACTGCGGCGTGCAGGCAAGAAGCCGACGCACCACTAGCCTAGGCGGAAACGGACGCACGCAAAGGGCTGTTAACTTACGATTCTCCCGTAGTCACTAATGATATCCCGCGGTAATCGCACGCTGCTCTCAACACGCCTTCGCAGCTATGAGGTTTTTTGTTTGCGCGAGGCTCGCTTTCGCGCTGCGTAAGGTGCTGCCGAGACTGATAAGCGTACGTCTATTTCCGCTCCTGCCGGTGTTTTTGATGTTGCTGCTAGGATGTTCCCGCTCGATACGCCAGTCGCGCGAAGTGCCCGTCTGGCCTGTGCGGTCACCTAGAGAGACCGCGCTGAGATGAACCCTTTCGTGACACTCAAGGAATAATAACCCTCCAGATAGGATTTCACGACGCCGGTCCCCGTGCATGACCTGTCCACATCGCGGCAATAGCTCCAATCGTCGGCTCAGCTCTATGCGGCCTGCCTTTCTTCTCGCCCCATCGGAATTCTGTCGTCTCCCTCACCCCACTCAGCCCTAACGGTCGGGGATGCAGCCTCATCCCAGATTTCTCCCTGTCTCTTCGCTCGCTCAAACCGAACGGCCGCGATGCTGGTTTTATGGTGCACCGCTTTTCAGGAGACTCTCTTTCAGGTGCAGGATCCGGAACGAGCCAGCGCGGCGGCTGCCCAACGCAGAACGACCACGACGGCGCGTCGCCTTCTCTCTTCGACGAAAGCTCGACTCGGACCGCACCGCCAATAGGCTACGGTATCTTCAAACATCGCACGTGAACGTGAACGCCTCGGCAGCACGAGAAATATTGGCACTTACGGGTGATGCACCCCACCCGACCGCTGGTTGTCCCAGTATCCACTGCAGCATCGCAAGATCAGTTGTGCGCTCGTCAGAACGAGTTCTGAGATGACCATCCAGTGCGCTGGAGGAAGCAAAGCAGGCTCTCAGCGGCCCGCATCCCCTAGTTCTCGGGAGGTATCCATCGCCGCAAGATATGCACTCAGTATCCTACTCGCACGCACTCATGGATTCGCAAACGGATCGTCGTAGCCAGGACCTTCGACGGGCAGCGAAACACGCCCTGATGCCATCTACCATGAATGACCCCATTCGTCCCCATGTCCGCCGTCGTGCCCCGCATCAAACCCGACTTTGTGCGCATTCAATCTTGTCGGGCCCACAGGCCTCTCGCAAAGTTCTTCACACTTTCAGTGAGCAGAACAAGACTTTCCAAGCTACAGAAAATCTTACTTGCCACCCTCAGCATGCTCCCCCGTGTGCTATACAGTCCGCGTCTTGCGAGAGCCGAATCTCCAGAGTCGAGCGAGGTAGTTGTCTAGCGCTCGCCCAAAGGTCTTGAAAAAATATTTGTGACTGTGCGGAAGGCCGGAACTGACAGCGTTGCTCGAAGGCGGGATGCTAGCCCATCTCAGCGCTCGCATTTACTAAGTCTGTACACTCCTTCGAAACCCTCTTCAGTGCAATATTTGATCTGGCATGATCACACCGTCAGGCTCGCCTCGCTCTCTGGATCCGGGCCGAACCGTCGACTGCCCATATTCCCGGTCACAAAGGCAGCGTGCCAGCACACCTACCAGTGCAGCCCCACTCCTGTTGCTGAGTCCACGGAGCAGTGAGCGTCGACCTAAACACGTCGCCGGTCTGCAGAGCGCCATGCCGCACACACGCCGACCTCTGGTGAGCCCCGCATTCGGGCAGGCAGCTCGTCATTCAACCGGGATCGGCTTCAGCCGCCTCAGGAGTCGAATGGGGGCTCACGGGTCGCGACACATATTGAGGATGTCGAGAGGGGCGCGCGCGCAGACTCGGAGGAGTAAATAGAATCGGAGTGGTGAGTGGGGTGTGGGGTGTGGTACATTATGGGATGCGCACCGAAGTGACGATCCGATTCCCTAAACTAACAAAGCGGGGCAAGTCTACAGCCAACATATCGTCATCAGCTTGCTTGTATCGATGCATTATTTGCAGCGCCTGAGGTCGCAGCGCCCTCAAGCGGCAAGCCACGCATCCGCCAGCAACTCCTCGACAGTCGGCCTCTCCGCCGGGTCCACTGGCAGGCACCTGCGTATGAAGCTCCAGGCATCGCGCACGTCCCGCGGCGTCGCCTCGCCGCCCAAGCTCTCTCGCAGCCGCCCTTCCAGAGGCCCTCCCCAGGACGGGCTAACTGGGTGAAGCACGTTTCCTGCACGACCCGCGTCTCAGCATCGCCCATCGTCCATCACGACATGACAAACAACTGCTCACCGTCGGCGTCAAAGTACTCCGCCGCACGCGCGCACCTCTGCAAAAAATGCGCAGGGAAGGGGCCAAGACGCGAGTTCATACACGCGAGCTGCGCAGCGTCGGGGCTGAGCGCTAGGTTCTGGTGCTCAAACGGAACCGACCCCGTGAGCATCAGGAACGTCTGGATGCTGGTCAGCTTTTGGTCCCAAACGCATCGGGGCACTTACGTTGACACCGAGGGCCCAGATGTCGACGGGGTACGACCATGGGTGGCCGAGCAGCTGCTCTGGGGCGACCACCTGGTCCGCTGTGAAGACTGGGGTATCGGCGTTGATGTTGTCCGCGCGCACGGCTAGTAGCACACACAAAGTTAGTCTAAGTCTGCCAGAACGGGAAACATGAACATACTGTTGCCGTAGTCGCTGACACAGACTTCGAGGTTCGAGAGAGAAGGGTCAAGACCGAGGTTCGGAAGAGGCTGTGACCGAACAGTCAATACGGTATCAGACGATGGGTCCGCCTCCGGTATAGGCGGATACGTCTGCGCAGGGTACTTCCTGAGAAAGCGGTCGATGTCTTCCTTGCTGGCGTGCAGCTTCAGGAGGATGTTGTCTAGCCTGAAGTCTAGTGCCGATATGTGAATACCGTGAAACATCTACAATCAAGATGACTGACCTGCATGCACAACGTGGAGCTGGTTGTGAAGAAAATGGAGTGCCAGGAGCATTTGTTTGACCACCCGCTTGACCACGGGTAGCGGAAGACGGCGGCGTGGAAGTGCGGCGCAGAGAGCTCCCAAAGAAGTGCCGTATGGTTGGAGCAGGCAAACGTAGTGGATTCCCCATTTGCTGTGCACAGAGCCAATAAACGAGGTTGCAGCGCAGTGGGCGTAGCCAGGATGCTCTTTATCGGCCTCGCGTAATGCCACGAAGCTCTGCCCGACTTCCGTCTCATGGGTTTCATGGATGAACTCGAGTAAAGTGGCGTTGATGGACATAACTTTGAGGACGACGTAGTCATATCCATGATCCCTACAAGTTGTGTTTGATAAGCATCGGGTCAAAGACTTGAAGGCGATGGACGTACTTCTGTATCTTGGCGAGCCATATACTTGCGTGGGCGCCATATCCGAGTTTACGCACAATCTCATACTTGTCCATGAGCAGCTGACCGACTCTCATTGGGAAAAATCCCCAGGGGCCGTCTTTGGGGTGGAGCATGTGTGGCTCCTCTGGGCAATACACCCCCTGCGCAGAGGGAGTATATCTGGTTCTCGGGGCAGCACCGGCGGCGATACTAGACGAGAACAGTCGGCGAGAAGACATCGTCTCTGATAGGGTCGGAGTACTCGGAGGCATAACAGTGAGACTCGAGGAAGAAGACGACAAGGCTACAGTACTCCTGTGGGAGCTCGACGGGGACTGGGGCCGTGCTGCCCCCGGCAGCATACCGGTGAGGCGTGCTTGAACCGCTCCGATGCGGGGGATGACTCTGCTGAGGGGCGAGCGACCGGAAGACCCGCCTGGCGTAGGCATTGCGAGTTAACGACGAGGCGTTGTAGAGTGGAAAACCCGACGACTGATAGTCTCGGACGGGATGTGGACGTAGGGCGCAGGCTCTGGGGGATGCATGAGATTGGCGCCAGTATTTATGCTGGCGAGGGCTGCCCTTGTGACATTCGTGACCGTCAACAACGTTGGCGTCGTGGCAACTCTTGAGTTCGAGTGGCGATGCCCGGCACTAGCCTCTCACTGGCACTCCGAGGTCATCGATGGCTTTGGTAGCTAAAGACGTTCGTGTTCTCAGCGTGCCCGCATCCAATAGGCCGGGTTTGCCTCTGAGAGACCGCCCACGTTGACGGGGGCCACTACTAGACCACAAGTGGCAACACTGGCACGAGGCGCACAGCGCCGCCTAGTCTCCCCTTCCGCACGCTACTTGCAGCGGTGCCTCGAGGGCCGAATCAGTGGGGAAGGCTGGGAGGCTGATGAGTCTACTAAGGTGCGCATCTCTCCTGACGATTCTGAGGGTAGTGCGGCGGCCTAGTACCGTTAGGGCTCATCCGTTCATTACAGCGAAGTTGGGCGAGCTCCGCCCACACGCCTCAGGTTGCTGCTGCCTATCGTGGCAGGGTTGATCAAGTCATGCCGTGCGTCGCGGTAGTATTCTCATTGGAATTAGATACTTGCCGTTTCCGAGGCCGACCACTGATGCCTTGTGTTGCCAAAGCCGTCCACTAATGCCCGCTGAATAACCCATTTGTACCGCAATGGCAACACCCTGTGGTGCTTATTCACCCTTCGAGGCTGCCTAGCCTTCTTCTGCAACGCCTCGCCTACTTCGGATTAGGCAGGCAACCACTGGCACAGCCCGAGTCGGCGGTTGAACAAGACAGCGCGCTTGAGTCTGTTTCCAACACGCACGCGTTTTGTTGTGAGTAATTCTGCACTTCTTCGGAAGATCTGGCGGTGTTCACTTGTTGCACGTTTCCAGGGCCCTGACAGTATGGTGGCGGGGCACTCGAAAGCATCGTTCTTGAACATGTAGCCTGACACAACGGCTTCGCAGGCCAGAAACCGAGGCGAATGTCACTGCTAGTTTCTCAGCTGCTATTCTGACAATTGTTGTCGGCAAGACGAGACGAAACTTTTACCTTGCGACTTTTCAAGTGCCGGTGGTTGACGACTTCGGCCGCTCTCGCCTGATATGGAAATGCTGACCCGCCTCAGTGCCAGCTGTGTTGATGTTTCCTCAACAAGCACTCGACGTACACAAGGCTATCCGGAGCGAAGGTCTGCGTGCCAAGGTGGGCTATTTTTCATCTGCGGAAGGAGTCGTATTCGAGCCCTGACTCGTTCTCGCAGCATGTTTCTGCATCCGATTCACATGATCGTCGTCCCCTAGATGGTTAACTCGCCCAGCCGTAGGCCGTGGTTCGACCAAATCCGATTCCGTTTGTGGTCTCAACAACGCACCTCGGCACATTCGCCAGCACGGCCGGTGGGAGAGCCCAATTAAGAAGCTCGTACAGATTGGTTCTCTTGTTGCGCCCATGCGGAATCATGGCACGAGGTGACAGCAGTCAAACCGCATGCTATGGGGGAAGTAGACGGAATCCCTGCAGCTTTAGCCATTTGGGAACAGAATCTGGCTCTACAGCCGCCTGCTCTTCTCCAGAAGGCGCGTCCTCTCCCTATAAAATCGCTCAACAGACTGACACGGCCCTCACAGCTCCCCAGATCCTTCCCTACGCAGTTCTAAGCTTACACCACTCGTCGTGTGCGTCACCACTGCAATCCCTCCATCATGTCCAACATCGCTCTAACCGTCGCCGAGACCGTTCTCCGCTCTGGCAAGCGGTTCGACTTCTTGTTCGACAAAATGAGCATACACATGGTCACATGGAAGAGGGAGCTCGAGACGGCATACGCAAACAAGCCGAGCAAGAAGGATTTCATTGTCGACGGACTCATCGCTCTGTGCGAGATCAAAGATCCGAAGACGAACAAGAGTCTCAACGACCTCGGCGCCCACATCGTCGAGATCCAGTGCGTATTTCGCAGCACTGTTACCATGCCGCGTTACTTACGAGTCGTCGGTGTGGCGAACAGGAGCACCCTCCATACGGGAGGCCTCGATCCGACTGAGCCCGAACATTTTGGTGCCCAGTTCATCAAGAAGGACGGTAAAAGGATTCCTTTCGAGGTTCCGACTCAGAACCCCTCTTCCTCAGTGAAGCCAATCTCGTTCACACGGCACGTCTACCCGCCCGAGCTGGTCGAGGCCCTGGCTCTAAAGGAAGCCGCCAATGCGGCTAACAGGGCCAACCAGGCTGGTGGGTCCAATGGACCCGAGGGGGGCGAGGGGGGCGAGGGGTCCGAGGGGTCCGCCGGTGCTGTATCTGGGACCAAATCAGCGTGAAGAGGTGAGCCTTCACCGACGAGCAGCATGCTCATTCTCGTGCTAATCATAACGCTTCAAGCTTTTGTTTCTGCACAATTGTATCCGTTTGTTTCGGCGGAAGGACTCCGGGTGGGGTGGGGATACCAAGTTTGTAATTGTGCTACCGTCGATCAAGAAATATCATGAGTACTGTGAGGTGTCCTTGCTATCATGTGTGCACCGGGCACGACGGCGCCGTGAGTATACTTGTCTGGCTCCTGCTAGTTTGTCTTTGGAACTTGAATGCCAGCCCTGACGCAGTGGCGAGCTCGATAGCATGTCCATCACATTTGAACCCTGCTCCTCCGTCGTGTATATCATGCGTTCTTTCAAGTCAGCAGTGCGCTCTGAAGTCCAGTGACGCCACACACCACTCTCCGAGGCCTTGCGGCCCCCGTATTATAATTCTTAGGGCGTGTCCACAGGCGTTTCGAGTGATTCGAACACGGAAATTTGATTTGAGCGCAACGCTAGCGGAGGATGCTCACCGTCGACGACACAGGCACTTCCGCTTCGCAGAGTCACGCATCGCGCCACCCTCAAAATTGAGCCGCACCATTGCGCCTGTGACACCACAAGCCTGATCTCGACCAGGAAGGGTCGTGGACTGGGAATGAGCGGGCGCGCTGTCTCCGCGTACACCGAGCCCGTCCTGCGGACGCCGGCAGTGCCGTGGCAAGGCTCTCCCTACACACCACTCCCCAGAGCGGTCCCAAAACTGGATAGCGGATGTGATGAGTCGTTACAACCGCAGCCGAAGATCCTAGATCGAGGCACTGTGGCCGGGCTTGAATTCGCCGGGGAAACGGGTCCTAGGAACGTGGTGGCGGTATTTGGTACTGGCAGAAGCGTCCTGATTTGGAACGACTTACAAGGCCGTACGAAAGAGGACGGAGACGATCGCGCGAAGGGCTCCATCGCAACGCCCGGCGTAGTATCCCCACCTCCGAATTCTACTGCGCCTCGAGTCCTGCGCAATCCCTCGTGTCCGGCGTCCGCCCAAGTAGAGGATGGAAAAGGCAGGTTATTGGCATGGGCGGCATGCCATCTGTGTTGCGCAGCATCAGCTTCAAGCACGCTCCATATCACCAGCTTCGCGAACTCCAGAGAGACTCGGACCACGCGCCGCAACAAAACCGATCGCTCGGTACAGTGATATTCTCCTTCCTTTTCAACCGTTGACCCAGTTATCTCCTTTCTGGCGGCCCCAAGAGGCGTTTACTGGCGAACACCCAAAAACCGACACGTTCAGTCCAACCAGCCGGAGAGTTCGCACATCACAGCTACAACCGGTGCCACAAGGCATGTCCCGAATCGAGGTAGCCACAGATCCGGGTAGGAGGACTGAGTTGCCCTGAGTAATACACGGCGACGGCTCCCATGGGAGGCCGTCGCTGGTGGGTACCTGTCAGCACGATGATGAGCAGGAATAACGGGCGAAATCCATACTTTGGAGCTGGGAACGGAGTACTGTGAGCCAGCCTTGAGACCTGAAGTCGAGAGCGCGAGATTGGGCTAGGGATAGCCCGCCCTTTGTGAAGCTCCCCCCCTCCCACGCGCGTTCTGCAGAGAACCTGAGAAGATCGCGCCGGCGCTGAAGAAGACAGCCGCATGTTTGGCCATCGTACCGATGTGCGTCTACGCCGCTGCCCCGGAAACATTTGCTCATACGGGGCAGCTCAAGTACGATGCCCTGAGGAGGAGTGTAGATGTGGGCGGGCTGCACACATTGGGCTCGTTCCGACGCCATGGGGGTTCTCCGAGTCGGAAGAAGACAAAGCAAACAACAGAAACAGCTGCAGCGGTGAGTCAGACATGCACGTCGCTGGAGGGGGAGAGGTATGGCTTACCAGCTGGCCAGGATATACGGATCGTCAGGCACCGGCACCAGCGATACGAGCGGGCAATCGCTGGATGCAGGCCGATTCCTCTCAATTCTGTGTAGGGGTGATACTGAGTGATATAGCGTACGTGCGTGCAACCGGAAATGTTCTACAAACGTTGGGGGCGTCACAATGATCAAGTTGATTCCGACGCCGGCGGTTCGCACATCAGCGCAGCGCGGGCTGCCTCCTCGCAAACGGCCGTGCAGGTGCGGTACCGGCGCGGGTCCCAATGCAAGCTCGTCCCCAGTCAGCACGTTGCAGCGAGCTTGAAACGCGCGCGGAGAACGAGGGCGCTGCACCGCAGGGGGTCTCCCGTGTCATAGGCCAGATGCGCTGAGGTGCGTCTGCCATTGCTATGAACGCCGGGGAGGTGCTCACAGTGATCAATCTAAGTCCAGGTCGCGAGCGTCAGCACGGGAGCGGTGGGAACTGGCGTATGCTCGCAAGGTTTAGACCCTGCAAAAACAGCCCGCCCGCCAGTTGCGCACCGTGGTCAGGCGTATGAGCCTATAGATGGGCGCCAGGCAACTCTGAAGGATAGAATCGATGTGGCGCTTGTCCAAAACCGCTACTGAAAAGACAGCGTCCGAGCACCAACGCAGGCCCGTTCCAACCCGTGACGCCTTCTTGCGATCGTAGTAGGTCCACAAACACGCGTCTACGTACAGAGAGCCCGCACGCGTCTCTCGTACGCAACACCCCGCCCTGCAAGCAGTCAGCAAAAAGTGCCCTACGCAGAGTCGAGCGCCGCTCACCGCATGTAATCAGCCCTCCCGGCCTGCCTGGGCCGCGACCCTGACCGCTTTCGCCCTCTCATCCTACAAGGATCAAGCTGGCGTACACATGACGCCCATCCATTCCCAATCCGTGCCATATAATACACCCTCTCTCCCTCTCCGCAGCTCACGCACTCGCGCTCACCCCGTGCCCCACCGTCGCGATCACAAACACTAGCCCCACCACCATGATCGCGCGCCCCAGCACCGAGATCGACTCGTGCGAGCCGGGGCCCGGCCCCTGCCCCGTCGGCAGCGGCCCCCGCCGCCCCGTCGCGCGCTGCACGTTCGGGTGCGCCCACGGGTCGCGCGCGTGGTGCCCGTAGTTTGCGTTCGGATGGGCGTAGTGCGCGCCGGGCGGCGGGGAGTAGTGCGCCCCAGGTGGGGGCGGTGAGTACGAGTACGAGTGCCGCGGGCCCGCGTTGGGGCGGCGCGCGTACTCCCAGGCGTGCGTCGCGCCGCGCCGGCGGCCGTCGGCGGCCCAGGGGGCGTACGGGTGCGCGTGGTGGGACTCGTGTGGGTGTGTGGGGGCGGCGGACGTGAGGGTGCGGTCGTATGCGCGTCTGTGGGTGGGGGACCGGGTGAGATGGGTCGGGACAAGACGAGACAGAGGGAGAAAGACGGGAGAGAGACGGTGAACGACTTCTCGACAGGTCTGGGACCGTGCAAGAGGTCGTGGCGGACTACACAATAGTATATACTAGGCCTGTGAGACCTAAGTAGTTCTCGCTGAGACTAGGTGGCGGCGCTGCGACCAGGCGGACCTCGCGCGACGCGTTATTTGGTCACACTCGCGATGTGTTGTGATGCGCTCATCAAGGACGAAGAGTGAGTGGTCTTCCTCACGGAACGGAAGCTTCGCGTACTCTCGCACACGCACTCAGGTTCAACAGCACGACTACCAGCACGCGTGCCGCACGGCGTTGCGCACATTGACCACGGTGACTTGCCAACCGTGAGGAGACGATCTCAGCCGGTTTGGCGTGGGCCTTGGCCGCCCTTGCGCGACCGGATAGTGACCGCCTTCGATGGCTTATATGGGGTCGTTACGGCGAGTCCGACAGCAGGACACGTATCAGAAGATATGGCGCGCGAAACCGTTCACGATGCGTGGCTGGACTTCACCATATTTGGCGTTCTAGATGGACAGCTAGGGCAGGACGGCACAGGAGGTGGTAATCACGTACCGTTTCCGCTCGTCACCCAGCACGGCGTACGCCTCACTCACCGCCTGGAACTTTGCCTTCGCGCCAGGATCTGAGTTCACATCCGGGTGGTACTGCTTGCTCAACTAGAGGGTCTGGCGGGGTAAGCACAAGCTCTTCGTGTGCCATGATCCTGGTTGGAGGGCGCGTGCGTACCTTGTAGAAGCTCGACTGGAATAACTCGATCGATTAGCAGCAGCAGCAAGGACCTCTGAGTAATCCAGACGCACCTTTATCTGATTTCGCGACGCGTCCTTGGGTATGTCTAGAGTGCGGTAGTGGCCATGATTTGGACTGGATATCGAGAAATGCGAGACGCGGACTCGGACGCGAGCAGCACTGGCAGCTGCTGCAGAATGTCGATGTTGGCTTGCGTGTGAGACAAGAGAGAGTGGCAGGCGGAGAGAGGAAGGCCGTGGTGTATGCATCATAAGTTAGCGATTCGTAGCATGCGCTGGTGGGCGAAGAGAGTCCGTGAGGCGAGGAGAGGTGTGGGACTGCAGGAGGAGTTGTCGGAACTTCAAGAACATGACGCACGGGCTCGATCTCATCTTATCTTATCGCTCTAAGGAGACCGGCGGCCGTTCGAGAGGCTGCTCAGCTGCCTGTTCCTCCCGACCACCATGAACTTGATGAAGTTGTCCCGACGCCGGAGGGGTCTCCATATCCTCAGTCGGCGTAGACCTGGTACCTGCGCTCCTGGGTCTGCTGGATCCATGTCCTCCGCTCGCTCCCCTTTCAGCGACTCGATTCTCCTAACGAACTTCAAAGCAGGCTCCTCCCTAGCTATAGGTACATCGGGGCCGCCGCTGATGCGCTTGAGGTCTCAGTGCGCCGTGACCACATTAGTATCTACCCGTCCAAGTCAATATGTCTTGCTATCTCGAAATGCTGCGCCACCTCGGGACATAGTGTCTCATCGTTGGTTTACCACTTCCGGTGGGGCCACAGCGAAGGCCAATACTCTGCGTTCTCCTTACCCCGAGGAAGCACATATGCTGCATCCCAAAGACGGACCCTGGGGCTTTTTCCCGATGAAGCTGGGGCAGCTGGTCAGGGGCAAGTACGAAATTGTGCGCAAACTCGGATACGGCACCAACGCAAGTATATGGCTTGCGAAGCAGCAGAAGTACGCCCCTCGTCTTCTGTTGAAGTTGACCCGATGCTTATAACACGACTTGCAGGGATCACGGGTATAGATACGTCGCGCTCAAAATCCTATCTATGAACGCCACCTTCCTCGAGCATGCGCATAAAACACATGAAACGGAAGTCGGGCGGAGCTTCATCGAGCTCCCCGAGGCCGATAAAGAACACCCTGGCTACCCACATTGTGCTGCAACCTGGTTTCAGGGTCCCGCAAAAAGCAAATGGGGAACGCACTATGTCGCCCTCTTCCAACCATACGGCACTTCCTTGGGAGCTCTCTGCGCAGCACTTCCGCGCCGCCGTCTCCCGCTCCCTGTGGTCAAGCGGGTGGTCAAACAAATGCTCTTGGCGCTCAGCTTCCTCCACAACCGGCTTCATGTCGTGCATGCTGGTCAGCTCCATTAAAACTGATTGCAGGCATCTCACGACACTGATATCGGCGGCACTAGACTTTAAGCTGCACAACATCCTCGTGAAGCTGCACGCTGACACGGAAGACATCGACCGCTTTCTCAGGAAACACCCGGCGCAGACGTATCCGCCCCCACCAGAGGCGAGCACGTCGTCGGATACCGTACTGACCGTCCAGTCGCAGCCTCTCCCGAATCTCGGCCTCGACCCTTCTCTCTCGAACCTCGATATCTGCGTCAGCGACTACGGCAATGGTAAGTTCGCGCTGCCTGTTCTAACTTCTGGCAAGCCTGGACTGAGTGTCTGTCTATTACCAGCCGTGCGCGCGGACAGCATCAACGACGATACGTCGATCTTCACCGCGCCCCAGGTCATCGCCCCAGAGCAGCTGCTCGGCCATCCATGGTCATACCCCATCGACATCTGGGCCCTCGGTGTCAACGTGCGTGTCCCAGCGCGCTCTTCATTTACAAAACGCTGACGAGCATCCAGACGTTCCTGATGCTCACCGGCTCGACTCCACTCGAACACAACAACCTCGCCCCAAGCTCCAAAGCCGCGCAGCTAGCCTGCCTAGACGTACTCCTCGGCCCCTTCCCCGCGCCCTTCCTGCAGCGCTGCGCGCAGCCTGAGGTGGCGGAGTACTTCGTCACGGACGGTGAGCAGCTGTTCGTCATGTCATATCGTGATATACGCTGAGCCGCGAGACGTGCAGGAAACGTGCTGCACCCGGTTCCGTCCTGGGGAGCGCCACTTGAAGAGCGGCTGCGGGAGAACTTGCGGGGGGAGGCGGCGCCGCGGGACGTGTGCGATGCGTGGCTCTTTATAGGCAGGTGTCTGCGGGTGGACCCGATGGAGAGGCCGACTGTCGAGGGGTTGCTGGCGGATGCGTGGCTTGCCGCTTGACGCCACTGCGATTTGATGGTGCACTCGATGTACCGATACATGGCGGAAGCTGGCGGTGATTCTTGGCCTTGTACCTCGCTTTGTTAATTTAGGCAATCGGATCGTCACTTTGGTGTAGCGATAGCTGCTCGACGCCTAGCCACACGCGGTAAGCACACTTGACCACCACGCATGTCCTCGAGCTACAGCATATCTTTGAGCTCAACAACTAACCCATTCGCCTCCAGTCCGCTCGTTCCTCAGCGCAAGCGCGTTACACAGCCGGCAAAACGACAGCCTCTCGATCCTCATCGCCTTGCTCCCGTGCCCGTCCACTGTAGCGTCCACCCCGGGCCCTTCACCCACCTCAACCCGCTTCACGAAGCAATCCGCCCCCAGCGCGCCCCGACAGCACTCACACCTATACCGCGTCTTCGCCCCCACATCCCCATGCTCCCCAACAATCCCCAACGGCATGAACCGCTTAAAGTCCATCGCGGCCAGGCGCGCATGCTCCGCGCGCCCACCCAGCATGCCCACGTACACCGCAGACTGGGCACACAGCACCTGAAGATGCTTGCGCACCCAGGCACGGCGCATGAAGTACGCGTACACGAGCGAGATGAGCGTGAGGTCGTGCGCGGCGTAGGCCATGAGGTGCGCAGGGAGCGGGCGCTCGAGCCAGAACGCGGACTCGCCGGCCTCGTGCATCGCGACGACGACGGCTGCGCACTCCAGGTGAGTCTCAGGCTCTGACATACTCCAAGCATACGAGTGTACTTACGATCCTTCAGCCCATACCCTTTAGCATCTGTTGTCCCTTTGGGCACAAGCTGGAAGAAGCCGACAACGTGCGACAAGCTGCGCAGCCGGTGGATCCCAGCATACGCCCCGGGATCGCGCAAAATCTCGTTCTGGATGGGCTCAAAGTAGCCCTTGTGCACTTCTGGAGGCTTCTTCTTGCGCGCGCGCACGGCGACCTCGACGAGCTGCATGTCGAGGACGTTCGCGAGCACGAGCCCGTACGACAGCAGAAGCTCGAGCGCGTCCGCGCGGCCGTCCCAGAACACCTTCGTGATGTGCGGGAGGGAGAGCAGCGCGAGGAGCGGGGCGAGCCCGGGATGCGGGGTGGGCGGTCCGGCTGCACTTTCGGAAGAGGGAGGAGATGAGGGGAATGCAAGCGCGTCGATGAGGAAGACGTGTTCGGCGAGGGGGCCGGAGATGGCGATGGTGCTGAGTGCGCCATCGGGCATCGCGAGGTCCCGCGCTTCACAGTCCATGAGGAGCACAGAGTGCGCGGAGAGCGCGGAAGCGGCATGCAGGACGGAGGCGGGGGTCGAACACCAGGTGATTTCGGGCGCCATGATTTGCGGTTTGGTTTCAGCGAGCTTAGCCTCGGCGACGCATGTACAGTAGGTGGACCGCGAAGGTGTTGCAACGTGTGCTGATGCAGCCTTTATAACGAACGAAGAGTCTGCTGCTGCAGCTGAGCGTCGAACGTCTACCGCAGCACACAAGCTGGGATGACATCACCTTCAAGAACGCTTCTCACCTCGCCGTTTCGAGTAACGTCGTATACCAAGTACCCATGGGTGTGAGACGATACTCTCATCGTGCGGCCAGAGAAACATGTCCATATAAAAGCACATACACGAGGGTATACATAAACACAGTGCAGCATACACGTGTAGCTAAGCTACAATCCCAACCTCAGAGCCTCTAGATAAGTTACCATACTACGAAGCAGAACGCAAAGGGCGCCCCGGGCCTACACCTCCATTCGCGCCTCTATCTCCTTCAGGCTGACATCCGCCAGCAGCTGGAGCTGTGATATCACCAGGAACGGCCGGAGCGCATACGACAGCGCGGCAGCAGAGAGCGAGTCCAGCCCATACGACGTGAACGGCACATCGGGCGACAGGTCCTCCGCGGCGACGTCGAGGATCTTGCACACGACGTCCTTCGGACTGCATTCCGCCCTCGCTGCAGACGGGTCGAGGTCGTCCGACGAATGCGTGGGCACAAGGTCCGCGTAGAGCGGCGAAGGACCCATGTTGTCGTGCACCAGCGCCCAGTCGAAGGCCGGCACGTATTGCCACACGGGCCGACTCTTTACGCAGCGTATCGCGTCGTCCACGTAGGTGAAGAACTCTGGCGTATAGCATGTATCAACATCATCTCTCAAAAGGAATAGTGCAAGGGACCGGGGGAAACGCACCTGCGCTCGTCATACCCCAGTTGCTGAGATGCTTGAGGCGCAAACTCGGCGACGACCCAACGAGCTCGCCTCTGATAGTCGACGTGTCCAGAATCGCGGGAGCCACGACACACACCGCGTTGCGGTACTTCTTCGTAAGCCCTGCCAGCGATGTGTTCGCGCTACCATCTATAGCGTTAGCTCTGATCACTTCACGACACCCAACACTGCACGTACCTCGCATAGTTCGTCTGCCCAGCGTTCCCGATCAAGCCCGACACCGACGAGAACGTCATCAAGAAGTCAAGCGTGTCCACCTGCAGAACCTGCTCCGCCAACGCGAACGCGTCCACCTTCGCCGGGAACGGCGCTTCGAACGTCTCCGCCGTCTGCGACACGAACGGGCGATCCACGAGCACACCCGACAGGACGAAGCAGCCTCCCACGGGGTGCTGCAGCCCATCGACGGCACTCTTCAACCTCTCGAGCGGCGCCTCTCCCGTGCAGGTGACGCGCACGCTGAGGTCTGGACGGCTCTCCAGGTAATCGAGGTACCGGAGCGCCGTGTAGTCGCCCCGCCGCAGCAGGCCTTCCCGGCCAGACCGCGACGTCAGGAGCAGCTCCCGCGCGCCGTTGCTGTACATCCAGTGCGCGAGCTGCAGGCCGAGACTGCCGATCCCGCCCAGCAGCAGGTAAGACTTTGTCGGGCTGTAAAGAGCTGTCGCGAGGGGCACCGACTCTGGGATGGCGGAGGCGACGAGGTCGAGCGGCGGACGAAGTGTCGAGGATGCGCCTTGGTAGCTCAGTGCAACGCGCAGCGCATCGCCAACTGAGCAGGGGTCGGTATCCAGGATGTGCGCGACACCGCTGTCGGGATGGTTCCAGAGGAACACTCGTCCCTGGCGGGGGACCATGTCGCGGAATGTCTTCGCCTCGGACGCATCCTTCGTCCCCGAAACAATGAGTTGCGGACTTCGAGCAAACGCGTCCTTCAGCGCAGAAACCGTGTAGCTAGCAGGGATGGAGATTACGTTGGCCCCAAGCTCAGAGTAGAGTCTCGCCACCTGCGCCCCGAGGACCGTATCGGAGTGTGTGACGAGGATGACCCTTTGTCTGAGGTACTCGGGGCGAGAGAACGCAGACACCCCGACGGCGAGGGCCGCAATAGCGGCCGGAAGCGCGGAAGGGAGGGATTCGCCAGTGGCGCCGTCAGGAAGCTCATGCAGAGCAAACTTGTGAGCGACGACGACATTGGAGAGAGGGCCGCTCGCGACACCTGCTACGAGCGGAGAGTCGTCGCGGGTCCGACCGACGTAGGACCAGAGCTGCTCGGAACCCATCTCGGCGGCGGTGACATGCACCAGAACATGATCTGACGGAACGTATGGGGTGGAAACTTGTGTGATGGTGGTGTTGTCTTGTTGCCAGGGGAGGGAGGGCTGGAACGCAGCGTTTGAGGGCGAAGGGTCCCCCTTGATGATCCTCGGGACGCTGATCGAGCCGTCCGCGTCTACCATGACCTCTGGCTCCACATTAGTCCTAGTGGATAGAGACTCAAGGAGTGTCTTCACGTCCTCCTCGGACCAAGATATGTCGAAGATGACCGCATGAATGAACCACGACGGGAATTCCTTGCGGAGCGCCCTAGCAAAGCCGGTAAGAGCATCGCCATCCGGGCCACTCGACGCGTGGAACCACACAGAGACGGCGGAGAGGGTGTCGAGTCCCTTCACGACGTCCTGCAGTTCTAGTTCGGCACCGCGACGGTACTGCAAGACAACCTTTGAAGTCGCGGAAGCGAGGCGTGGCGGAGTACGGTCGACAGGAGTTTCCAGCGCGGAGTCCGAGTCCTGGGTGCCATACCCCGAGTCAGAGAGTTCAAGGCTAGGGGTAGACCGTGGAGTGGAGGCGTCAAGAGGGTCTTCTTGAAGAGTAACCCCGGTCTTCTGGTAGACGACTTCGTATCGGTTTTCCACGCCGGATACCCTTTGCCCGTGCATAGAGATCTCGAGCTCGTCGACGCTGTACAGAGGGGTCCCATCCTCAGTTGTGATGAGCAGATCGTATACCAGAGTTTCTAAAACATAATCAGCCACGGCGATCATGCGGCGCACACGACAGTCGAAAACATACCTGGGGTCCACGCCTTGAAGACCGCATGAGTGTATACGATGGGTGGGAACGGACGGTCCAAGAGCGCATCATGGACGACGAGACTTCCGATCCTCGAAGGAAGGTAGTAGCGAGCAGCATCATTGACACCGGTGACCACCGGGTGCACGAGGATATGCAGGGAGGCGTCGAGAATAGCAGGATGAATGCGGTAATCGGCGATACTGATAACACACTTTGTCAACAAACAGCACTGTGGAAAGACTGCATAACGTACTCAGGCAGGTCCACGTCCGCGCCACGCAGCTTGATAAGCCACTCATCTCTCCCAGTCGCAGCATCCCTTGCGTAACTACACGCAAGGATTCGTTGGTATGAAGGGCCGTAGTCTGCAAAGGTGTGGAACCCGTCATAGAAGCCTGAGGGATGCGTTAGTGATAGTGATAACGAAACCTTCGTAGGTTGAAAGCAAGCTACCTTTCATATCCAAGGGCTTCAGGCGACTGGAGATCTCAGCTATGTCCCGTCCAGTTCGAACGTCCTCGACCTCCTGAGTCATGCATAGATGACCTTTGCAGTGTAGACGATTGTACTAGTTAAGGATGTTAGTCAAACGGGTGAAGAGCACTGCATTCTGGACTGTCGTTCCCCTACCTGCGGTGGCCATGTCTTCGTGTAGTCGACAGCAACAGAGCTCAGAACGCTCCACCTCGACCCCTCTCGTCTAACCTCCACGGGAGTCGGCCGTTTCGCAGACAGCGCCATGATCGACACCAGTTCAACGTTGTACAGCTTCTTCGCCCCGAACTCCAATGCCTGCCACCAGACACATTAGCGTTCTCCATCCGATACCGCAGAAAACAAAACGCTTACCATCTCCAAGTACCCCGCCGTCGACATGATCGGCTCGCCCTTAATGACATGCTCCGCCAAATCCGGGTGCGTCTTCTCGTTGATCTGCAGCTGCGAATAGTTCAAAGGCCCGTTCCTCTGCTGCCTCTGACGCGCAATTTCCGCTGTCGGCGCCGTATACGGCACATCCTTGCGCGCGAACGGGTACGCCGGGAGCACGTCCACCGGGGCAGGCGCCGTCCCAAACAGCGCGTCGAAGTCCATGCGCATGTACCCCGCGACGACGAGCTTCCCGACCGCCTCCAGGAGCGCAGCGGCCTCAACCGCCTGGCGCTGGCTCGACCTCGGTCGGCGCAGCGGGCACACGACCGCGGCGGTCTTCTGCTCCGTGATCGCGGAGACGTAGCTGGTGAGGACCGGGTGCGGCCCGAGCTCGACGTATATCGCGTGCGGGTGTTTCTGCGCGATGCCCTGGACGGCCTCGGTGAACCTGACCGGGCCGCGCGTGCTGTCCCAGTAGTACTCCGCGTCGTACAGCGACTCCTGAAGTGACCCAGTTTTTGTCGACCACGTCTCCACGGTCGTCGGGCTGACGCGGTAACGCGAGAAAACGTCTTCCACGAGCCGCTTATACTCTTCTTCGCAGTGCTCCATCATCGCCGAATGCACTGGGATGCGAGTGCGCAGGCGGCGAGCGAAGATCCCCGCATCCGAAGCGGCCTTCACAGCTCGCTCGACGTAGTCTTCGTGCCCGGAAAGCGTCACAGCCCCTGGCGCGTTGTAGCAACCAACTTCCAGCGTCCCGGGTCCAAGCTCCGAGATCACCCCCTCGACGATCTCAGCAGCGCGCTCAGGGGAGCAGGAAACAGCGGCCATAGTGCCCTTCTCAGTCTCCAGGAGCGACATGGCCTTTCCTCGCGCAATTGCGAGCTCCATCGCCAGTGCGCGGGAACCCGCGCCAGATGCGTACAGGACGGGGGTCTCGCCGGCTGAGTGGCCGACGACGACGTCGGGCTTGATACCTAGCGCCGCGAGGGTGTCGAACAGCGCAATCTGGAGCATCGTGAGGGAGACAAGCGTGATCGCGATGGGCCAGATCTCCCCGAGCGGGTCCGAGGGGCGCGCGCCGTCGAATATGCCGGTGAGCTCAATGAGCGACTGGCCGGTCACGCTCTTGTAGATCGCGTCGAGGTCCAGGATGCTCTTGCGGAATACCGCAGAGGTTTGGAAGAGCTCGCGGCCCACTGTTTCAAACATGTCAACGCCGAAGGATTAAGGGTGGATGATGAGGCTTCTCACTTGCATAGTGTTGAGTGCCCTGCCCACTGAAGACGAACACGACGGGAGGCGTGATCCTCGGCGAGAGCACCGGCTCGCTGAACTTCACCACAGTGCCTTTGCTCTGGATCGCGAACGACCTCCACGTCATGGAGCGCGCCCTACGAGCATATGCACGTGCCGCGGCCTGCTGCACGTCCTCCGCCCACGCACTCGCCTTGTCGACGATGTCCGCGGCAGAAGCCGAAGCCGACCGGGGAGACAGGCCCGCCGCAACGTAGAGTAGCGGAACGTCAAGCGCGTTGATCCAGAAGGTTGACGGCTTGGGGGATACCGCCGGGGGACCTTCCACCACGCAATGCCCGTTCGAGCCTCCGATACCGGAGCTCGTCATGGCTACGAGCCCACGGCCGGAGGAGGCACGTACGCTCAGACGTTCCGGCTCCAAGGGGACTCGAAGTTTGTACTCCTTCCATTTGATCGCAGGGTTGGGGGTCTTGAGGTTGACGTTCGGCGGGATCGTGCCGGTCTCGAAGATGGAGCAGACTTTGCAGAGCGAGGCCAAGAACGCTGTGATTTCCAGGTGGCTGCAGAGAGCCATTTCTCAATACCCCGTGATACAACACCGTGTAGCACACTCACCCGACGTTGCCCTTGAGGCTGCCAATGACGAGTTCGTCATCCCTGCTGAACTCCTTTGCGACCCAGTTCGCCTCCGTCGGGTCTCCCATCGCAGTCCCAGTTGCATGCAACTCCACGAAATCGACCTCGCGCGGAGAACGCCCAGCTTGCGCAAAGGCGCGCACCATTGCCTCCTGCTGCGCGGACGCCACAGGCGCGTTGACAGGCGCGAGGGATCCGCAAGAGTTTATGCCTGTACCAAGGATCTACAAGGCCAATGTAAGTTACCGACAGCGTGCGCAGCTATTGCACCCCAATGCCAAAGCTAAACTTACAGTGGCGTAGACCTTGTCACCATCTCGAAGCGCAGCGTCCAGTGGTTTCAGCACCATGCATACAACGCCTTCGCCTCTCCCGAATCTTGAAGGGTTCAAGCGTCAACTACGTGGCGTACGTCTCGCAATTTAAGTATTGTATTCACTCACCCATCGGCTGACGCGTCGAAAGGCTTGCATTTTCCGTCTGGAGACAGCACACCTCCTTGCGAGTATGACAACCATTCTGAGAATCTGCACAAGTTCAGGTTGGCGGCGGTATAACATTGATCGTAGAAGACTTACCTGTGATTGATCTGCGAGCCGCCCACTACTGCTGCTTCGCATTCGCCATTCTGTATGGCCTGCACCGCAAGATGCGTGGCCGACAGACTTGAGCTACACGCGGTATCGATGGGCACCGACGGTCCGCGCAAATCGAGATAGTACGACACGCGGTTGGCGATCATAGCCGGTCCAGACGCAAACGAGCCTCGCGCCTCATCGTCATCCTGTTGATCCATGAGCGCAAATACGTACAGCACACGGCTGCTTCACGTACGTGGCCTGAGATCGAGAACATGTCAAAAGCGACGCCCGCGGTATAGCATCCGATGTTCTTTCCGCGATAGTCGATGCCGGAGTCGACGAGACTCTGGAAAGCGGTCTCGACAAGTCGGCGGGTGCTGAGCGGCATCATGCGTGCGTCCTTGTTCGTCACGCCGAATTCGAGGTGATCGAAGAGATGGACGTCCTTGAGGAACGTGCCCGTGTCGGTCGCACATTTACCCAAGCCGCGGCCGACAAGTCTAAGGAGCCGAATGTCAACAGGTAAGTACTTAGATCGAGGTACTGGGGACGTACGTGTGAATGTTGAAGCGTTCAAGGGGGATCCTCTCGTAGGCCTCGCCGCGCTCAAGAAGAAAACGGAAGAAAGATCTGTAGTCGAGGTTTGTGTCACTCCATGTTCCGCTGGGGAGCTCTGCTGCAATGCCAACCTGTGGACATGAGACGTGTCAGCATAATCTCATGCATCAAGGGAGACGGACTTACGATGGCTATCTCTGGTGGGTGACAGGAGGACATTCTATGATGCGCGTGGTATTAGCGGCGTGCGCGTACTCTTAAGGTATAGCGGCAAAGTGAGAGACGCACCTGATTGTAGGGGAGGTCTCCCAAGGAGGGGCCGCTCTGTCTACTGCTCAGGGCGGTATTTGCAGTGTTTAAGTGCATCTCGACATGTTTCCCCACATGTGACAACCACTCGCATGTGCGGCTATCAGTTACTGCCTGCGGGAGTTGCCCTCATGGATGAACTTCGAAAAACAGTGCCCGTCCGACATTCTGGCGGAGAACATGGAGATCTTGCTGTTGCGCCTTGAGCTGCGCTGTCGGGCGTATTGTGGGTCACAGGACAAATGCATATCAGCAGGAATTTGCAGTTTCACGCTGCCAATCTTTCGTGGGTGTGTCTTCGCCAGTTCTGGGAGATGAGTTATGATCGCAGTAGCCTGAGATAGTCCCTTGGCCGACGGGGCCGTCAGGAAGTGCTGCATGAGAGGACGAAGCAGGACGAGCACCGACGGAGTAGGGATCTCGTACTATCCGTGATGGCCGAGTGATGCCGCTTACGCCCTTGCACTGCTATTGGCCATTGCGGCACAGCCATCAGTCTTATACACACTCCGACCATAGCGGTGTCATTTGCGAGCAAACGTTGAACACTCGTGGTGGTTCTCCTCCGCCCTCCGAGTCGCCATCCTGCACTATCTTGACTGTACACGGGGCCTTTAGTGCCTGTAGGATTCGCTAGCCATTATCACGAGCATGCGATCACCATCGTCTTCGACCACCCTAGATCCATACGACAATACTGACACGAGCGCAGTGCAGCAGTGGTTCCTCCGAGCCGGAGACGACTATGTTGAACGATCCACGTCTGACCAAAATATGTCTAGCTGCTAGCCATCAAGACTCTCGGTAGTCAATTCAGCGCGACATACTTCCTCGAGGTCTGAGCCGTGTGGATTGACATCATTCTTCATCTTCCGTGCGGTGTGTTTCAATTCAAATGCCATCGGGGTCCTGTCAACTTAACTCCCACCTGACAGCGCCTCTGCACGAGAACCCGAAGTCCATCAGCCTGGCCGCATCTGCGCACATCGCTGTACACCTTGACCGCAGTACTGTGTTGTTCGCATTGCTCCACACTGGGACCAGGCCGGGAATGTGTCTCATTGCGGGAGAACCGCTGATCATCCGGATCTGTGCTCGAGGTCGAGGCACGGTAATGTGAAGGTTCGCGCTATCGGAAGGGTACCCTCGAACTAAGCTAGAACTGTCCCTCACCATCATCGTTGAGCAAAAAAATCGACCACCGATTTATCCAGATCCGACTGAACACTGGCCAACATAAACTGGTACCGCCGGCTTCTATCTCCGACGTGACGCAGCCGTATTATCGCTCGTTACCTTCGCCATCTTCTGGTGGTGTTCCGCCTTGTCTGATATCACACTACGGCGACACTTCTTCTGGCATTGCTTACGGGAGAATCCAGGGACACTGCGCGACTTTCAGGTGGGTCAAGACAGCAGCGCCTGCTGCGGCGAATCCAGGGTTCTTTCGCGGGAGTCCTTACACACAACCTCTCAGCAGACTATATAAAAACCCAGTATCCATTCGACTCTCTAGCACCCTGACAGTCTCTTTTTAGCTGCCATCTAGTATCCATGGACTCCAAACTTTCCACTATAGCCAAGGTCTCAGGGAAAACGTTCGACTTCGTCATAATCGGTGGGTCCTGCGCTTCAGTGGCCTTGCGATTTCTCACCGATTCCCATCTATCGAAATATCCATCACCAGGGGGAGGCGTAAGTCCCTGCCATATCTCAGCCTCGGCTCCGATATTCCATGAGCTCACAGACACATTTCCAGACTGCTGGCCTTGCCCTTGCCGCACGTCTGAGCGAGAACTGCGGAGTTTCTGTCGCCGTTCTCGAAGCAGGAAAGGCGCACCTCGATGATGAACTCGTCCGTACGTCCTGTTTGTTCCTTGAAACCTACTGCATCCGCTGACCGCGCGTTGGCCGCAACTGACGCTGCGTACAGTAACTGTGCAAGGATGGCAGCGGCAGTTCATGAATCCCGAGTACGATTGGAAATTCCCGACGGTTCCTCAGCAGAATGCAAAGGGCAAGACCCTGCTCTGGAGCCGGTATGTATTGTCTTCGACGCAGCGTTCAACGGCCCGCCATCTGACAGGAACCACTCTGACTTCTCTTCTTGCAGCGGAAAGGGCCTGGGTGGGAGCTCGGCCATGAACTTCCTCATGTGGAGCCGGCCGCAGCGGGAAGACGTCGACGGTAGGTTTCCGTCCTGATATGCGACAAACTCACTATGACGGCTCACGACGCATCCATGCAGCCTTCGAGGCCCTTGGTAACCCCGATTGGAACTGGGAGCGGTTCTATGAATACTCCAAAAAGACAGAGAAGTCCGCCGGCCGCATCATACTACGTATCTTTGCCCTGCTAAACCGTACCTGTCGGCATGTAGGTTCTGTCCGCCATCGGAGACGAGCACCGACGACCTCTACAACAAAGATGCAGTAGGGTCCAACGGTGCGTCACGACGCCGCATGCTCAAGCCGTCGAACACACACCTTACTGACCAGGAACAGGCCCGCTATCGATATCATTTGCGCGAACCACCTCCAATGCCGAGCTCCCGTTTAGGAAGGTATACCACTCCGATTCCCGTACTCTCGGCTGTTCTCACCCCACGGGCAGAGCCTACGGGACAGCGGCATCACCCTTAGCAATGACGCAGTATGTCACCCGCCTTCTCGCATCACGGCCGTGTGCACGACTGACAGCCTTGGCACAGTTGAGCGGCAGTGTCCTGGGAGCATGGAAGACCGCCTCCGTGATCGACCCTGTCACGAACACTCGCAGCTACGCCACCAACGTACGCGCCCGGTGTCTTTGTGCGCCCCCATCGCACCAGCTAACTCTGATGCGTAGGCATACCTGTTACCCGCTGTCGACCGTCCGAATCTGCACGTCCTCACCGAGGCGTATGTCACGAAGATAATCACGTCGAAATCGGCAACGGGCGAAGTCGTTGCGTCTGGCGTCGAGTTCCAGCATGATGGGACTACGCACATCGTGCACGTCGCGAAGGAAGCCATACTCTCGGCCGGGTGCGTTTCCCTTACCCGCTTCTCAGGGAGCAGTGCTGAACGCTATCACGGAGCAGAGCGATCAAGTCTCCTCAGATTCTCGAGCTGAGCGGTATCGGAGACCGCAGCGTACTCGAGCCTCTCGGCGTGCAAGTGCAGTTTGTCCTCCCGAGCGTTGGCACCAATGTGCAAGAGCACATTACGCACAATGCTATGGCTTTCCGTGAGCATGCGAAGTATTTGTCGCGATGAGCGGCCCCGCTGAACGGGTGACGCTTTAGTTATGCACGAGGAGCGCGGCATCGTCACCAGCGACCTCTTGCGCGACCCCGCATTCCTAGCCAATTTCGTCAACGCCAAGTACGCGATTCCGTTCTCTCCACTTGTGCTGCTCGTCGAATAACCACTCCAACGTAGCCCCGACTTCAAGGGACTGGCTTTCACCGGCCTCAACTTTGTATCTCTCCAGAGCATCTCAAGCCGCGCAGACGAGATCATCCGCGAGCTCGAAGCCAAGTTCGCACTTGAGGCCGCGTCGTACCCTCCGGGCCTCAAGGAGCAGTATGAGCAGCAGCTCAAACACCTCAAGGACCCGAACGTGCCCGACGTCGAGATCATGGTTACCCCGTTCTCGTTCAACCCTACCCGTACGTGTGCTGCCGTCCACGCTAGCGACGGGAATCCGCACTGAACCCGTGCAATATGCCGTCACCCAGCTGCCACCAAGCCCATCATCGCGATCCTCCCCACGCTCATTCACCCCTTCTCCCGTGGCACCATCGTGAGCCCCTTCCCACCCTTGTCACATTTCTCAACCCGTGCTTACGAGTCTCTCTTGACAATTCCGTCAGCATGCGGCCTCCGCGGACCCCACCGCTCCGCCGGCGATCGACCCACACTACTTCGCGCACGATGCGGACCTCGCCATCTTCACCGAGGCGTGGAAGTTCGCACGCAAGGTCGCGCACACGGGCGCCTTCAGCTCGCTCGTCGCCACCGAGGTCGCTCCCGGCCCCGCTGTGAAGACTGATGAGCAGATCAGGGAGTATGTGCGCAACAACTTCGTGACAACTTGGCGTGAGTGTCTGCCCGGGAGTGTGAGGCAAGATGTAGGCTTATGCGACTGTGCGCCAACGTAGATACGTGCGGCAGCCTCTCGATGCTGCCGCAGGACAAGGGCGGCGTCGTGGACCCGAAGCTCAAGGTACGCTGCTCGTCCTCGCTTCCTCACCGCGTGTCCTCTCACACATTTCGCCGCCGGGTGCAGGTGTACGGGACGCAAAACATCCGGGTCGTCGACCTCTCGATCGTGCCGCTGCAGATCACCAGCCACACCCAAGGTCACTTCCGGCCCACTCATTCACATATGGCACAACTAGTAACAGTTCTCAAATCTGGTTGTGTCTTTCTGCAGCTCTGGTGTACGCCATCGCTGAGCAAGGTCCGTGCCTACGTACTCATGTTGCTACGTAGGTATCCTACTGAACACTGCGCCTCCCAGCCGCGGACATCATCAAGCACGACCACGGTCTCCACGCCTAAATCGCCCCCGCCCCCAGCGCACCCGGGCATATCTGATCCGTCAAGTCAAGTCGCAGCAGTCGTACTTCCAAGCCATCTACATTCTGCATCAGCACGTCGTAGTAGTACAAATAAATCCATCCATCCAGAAACCGTGACATATGTAACTCGCAGATCGCAGTCTACGTGCCATGCCATGAAATACCTAGTACAATGCGTCTACCTTCTATCCAACTCAACTCGGACGCTGCGATGATGTGCCGTCTACAACAAGATATGATGCGCCAGAAGCCTGAAAATGATGTACCTGGCAGAAGCCGCCCCGCCCAAACAGCGATGGCTCTCCAGGCTCCGAAGTCCCGTCCCATCCCACCCATGAGTGCCAATGGAGAAGCCAGGCCCCGGGGCCTCCTGCACTCGAAGAAGCCTGGGGGATCCTCGAGCCAACCGAGCCAGCACCTCACCGCCCCCGCCGGCGGCGATAATGATCCTGACCCACCCCACGGCCCGCCCTCCAGGCCCGAGGAACGATGGATGCAGTACCATATCCAGACCAGTACGGCATCCCGCCTCTGCGAAGCTGCGAACCATGCACCGTGCTTCGCGAAGACACGCAGTGTGGTCGCAACGGGGGCATTTCGGCGCTTCTTCCGCGAGCAGGCCGAGCGAGATCCCAGTGCACCGTGCAACGGCGTCCAAACGGCATCCTATGATTTCGGCCGCCGGCGCTGCAGCGCAGGGAGCTGCATCCCGGGGGACGGCTCGAGCTGGGCAGTCCTGACGGGCCCCTTCGCATGCACCTGCACCTCCCACTCCGCCCCACTCGCCCCCGCGTCCGTGTACGGGACGACCCGCGCCCCATTCACGTTCTCCCCGTTCGGCCGCCCCGGGCCGTGCGAGCGGGACGAGCTGCTCCTCCGGTGCTTCGGCGGCGACGAGAACGGCGCGTCGTCCAGCTCGACCGCGTCTCGGGAGGACGAGCGCGGCCGACGCGCTTTCAGTGTGGCGGGGGAGCGATCGGCCCGGGCGCGCGGCTCCCGCCGGGCCTTGGCCGGGCCGATGTCTTCCATCTCATGCTCCCAGTCGAGCTCCTCGCTCGCGCTGGACGCCGTCGCGCTCGTCGAGTCGAGCGAAAGGCGCGACGCGAGCGAGTTCGACGGTCGTACGGCGAAGAGCCCGCTTTGCGACTGCGTGAGCGCACGGAGGTGGTTCGCGGTAGACTGCAAGGAGGTCGAGAATACATCGAACACATTCTGCAAGGGAGCATCCTGCGAGCGCGCGAAGGCGACTGGTATGGAAGGTCGGCCGGGGGCGGACCTCCGAGTCGGCATAGTTTGAAAGCTCCCGGGGGTCAGCCCGCCTGTTCGAGGTGGAGATGGAGGGTGCGTAGGTGGAGGAAAGTACGACAGCTGGGACGCGGGGACTTTCCGGAGAGTGTATTCAGACGCCTCGGGCGCGGTTTGCCCGGGTTCCGATATGGGACCGACATGCGAGGTGGTGGTGTCTGAGAGGTTTGGCTGAGAATCGTCGTCTGGGAGCGCATTCTTGAGATGTCTCACATGCCGCGCTTTGTCAACTGGGATGTAGAGAGTGTTGCGGAGGTGTATGGTGTCGGAAGTCCAAAGCTGGTTGGCCCTGCGGAGCTCAGCCAGGGAAATGCCATACTTCAGGGCTACGCCAGCTAGCGAGTCTGTAGGTTGAATCTGGGGAGTAGTCAATATGAATATGACTGAACAGAACACATGCCGCTCACCTCGTGTACGATGACCAGCATCTCCCTATCCTGAATGTTTGCCTGCTCAAACAGCCCCGTGTTCCCTCGATGTCGATCTCCAGTCGAAATTTCGTCCGGTGGTTCGTTCAGGCTCAGCATTCTTCGCATAGTCGGCCGGGTATCATGGTCCAGTGTGACCGAGCTCGAAGACGCAATGCTTGGTGCCCTCAATGGATGCTGCTTTGCATCCTTACGAACCAGCCACGATGGTCCTGCCCCAGCATCGCTGTCCAGCGTGCGCGCACGTACGTGAGAAGCACCGTCTGCGTCCCCGAGGTCTGTCTTCATGCGACGTGTTGCCGCATCGGAACCGTGTCTCCTCTTCGCGGGGCTCGTCTCATTGCGCCTGACCGCAGAGGAGAAAGAGGATGTGGAGGGTAACTGCGAATGGCCGTTGCCCCAGACAGATTGCAGGTCCGTGTCATGTTCGTCGCCGTTTAAAGTATTTCCCAAGCGAGTCATCAGCCCCGGTTTGGACCGAGATGCGACAGACAGCTGAACAGCGGCGACTCCAGAAAGCAGCAGGAACTGACTAGATCGACGCCGAGCACGGTGTGTGGAAGGGTGAGTAGAGGGAGCAGAGTGAGCAGAGCAGCGGGGATGGCGGCGGCGACTCGGGCACCGCTGTGTGGCGGGCGCCTGCGCTCGATCACACCGCCACGCATCGTGAGTAAGTTCGAACTTTGGGCGAACGAGTTTCTCCTTTCACCGCGACGCTCATGAGGCCTCGATTCGAGCTCGGTCTTGTTCGTAACATGCAGTACAGAGGTAGATTGCACTCATCCACTGATACACTCGGATACATCTGACAGGCCTACAGCCCAATAAATTACCAAGACGCCGACCCAGCAGCCGCGCACGCTCACACCGCAGAACCCATGCTGTCCTTCTGTCGCCGACAAAAATAATCGAACAAGTTTAGCTCGAAGTCACCTCAACAGCGTTCCTCTGCTCACCTGGAAGTTGAAATCCCTCATGGCGTAATCCACGTCCACATCGCTCCCTCCCGACTTCATGCTCGGCATAATATCCACGCGCACCACCGTCTCCGACTCCGTACCGCCGCGGTGTGAGCTGTTGCCACCGCGCGCCGTAACCGTACTCATCGTTGGGGCGAACCCGGACGTCGTGTGCAGGGCCGAGCCCGCCGCTGCCTCCTGGCGGATGAACGCGCGGTTGTTCAGCGACGCGAGCATCATGTTCGCGTACAGCTTCGCGAGCGCGAGCGCGGGGCACTCGTGGTACAGGGTCTGCGGGAGCGCGGAGAACATCACCACGTCGACGATGGCGACGCTCGCGGTGATGGTCCCGGACTCGATCGCCAGCCGGGCGAGCTTGTTCACGAGCGAGTCGGAGCGGCGGAAGCCGGTCTTCGTCTTCAGGAGCTATGCAGTCGCGGAAGTTCAGCATCGGAGCGGGTAAAGACCAGATAACGAAGACTTACAAGGATGGTCATAGTCACCGCGATGACGATGTCTGCGAGGGCGCTACCACCCAGCCAAGTCTGTTCGGCAACAGTGAGTTCCACAGATGTCTTACAACGGTCAGAGTACTTACAGCAATGGCAGGGGTGGTCGCCGCTTGATCCGAAGCAGAGTGAATGTTCTTGAGCTGCCAACGACGATGTTGTCAGCGTGACGGACGTTCACTTCGCATGTGTGCCTACTCACCATCACCCCACTAGCAATCGCCGCCGATCCCTGCGTCAATGCAAGCTGCGCCCCACCCGCTAATGTCAGACCTGGCCATCGCTATGTGGACGAGAAGGTTACGTACCACGCAAATGACTCCAGCAAGGACCATCGAGCCGCTCAGGACGAAGATGCGCCGCGCATAGAAGAACTGCACCGCGACGGACACGACGCCGCACATGATCGGCACGCTGAACCACGAGTTGTGGAACTTGAGTAGGTTCGGCACGTCCCCGAAGTTATACACGAAGACTTGGAATGCGTTCGCGGTGATGAGCCCCGTCTGGACCCACTCGAACGCGAGTATCCCGTACACTGCAGAGCGCGGCGAACACCAGGTGAGTACGCAGAACATGACGTAAACGACATCGACTAACCGAAGAGACGCAGAGAGAGCTGGTCCTTGGGGAACATGATATGGTACAAGTCTGTACAAGACAAGAGTAGTAAGCAGGTGTTCAACTTCATCCTTACATGTTTGACTTACAGACTTGGATCGAGAGTGCACCCATGAGGCCCCAGTTGAGAAACTGGCCCAAGAGCTGGGGACCGGCCCTACAGTTGCAAACCGCAAGTCAGTGTGCATTCTCGCCTTCAAGCATGACCCGCCCACTCACAAAGTAGCGACGTTTCCTGCCTCACTCATGATAATGGTGTTCCTTGTAGGCGGCCAAACGGGAAATCTCGGAAAAGGACAGTGAGCTCAGCGGCGAGATGGCCTGAGGACTAGCGGCGAGGCGTGCTGCCTGAGGTGAGCGGAGGTTCAGAGCGCCCCGGCGCATAATCTTATATGTCACAATGCAGCCCAGCCGCATCGGCCCCACCGTGGGAGGGCGCACAGAGGGAGTAATGTCTGTGCTTCTCGCCTCGTGAGTCGCGCGATCCCGCCGGCGGCGTAGCGCTAACTTCCCCGGATCTGTCCAGTGGGCCAGCCACTGCACAGCCGTGACCTCCCACACAAGGCATTCGGTAGCATATCCGCAACATCTGCATTCAGAAGACGCAGGATCCCATGATCAGCGCACAGCGATCAGATTCGCGATGGCGCACGCGTCGGGCCGTATCGACGAGGCGTCGGTGCGTGCAGTGCGGATGTAGTACTTACGTACTGCGGGCGAGGTCTGTTCGGGCATCAGGGTGTCATTCACTCGCTCTTCCACAACAAAGAACCTCCTCCGCACGGTCACCGCAGTATCAAAATCTGACTGGTTGCAAATGCCGAAAGAAGTCTACGGCACATTCATGGCCAGCCAAATTGCCCTGGACACCGCTCCCGATGATGACTCGATATGTCGGTCCTCGGAGGTTCGCCTTCCAACTAAGCCTGCAATGTCCCGAAGTCGATCTGACGTATACCCCGCCTCCTACGGATCAACCGTGCTGATGTCGTATTGAATGCAGCACAGGCACCAGAGGTTCTGCTCATCGATGTTTTCACTTCATCAAACATACCATCCCCCGTATGTTCAGCTGCTCACTGTGCCTAACAATGTGGTGCACCCACAGCAGTGAATACGACGGCCTCTAGAGCTGCTGTCCAGCAGGCTAGCTGCAACGCGCAACTCCGCCATCATTTCGCCGATGACAGATCGTCACCGGTCCTCCATGCGACTTCATACTTCGGCCTCTGCGTGACTTGCTGTGCTGCGGCTGTGACGCTCCTTCGGGTTTTTCAAACGATAGCTCGAAGTCGAGTATGCCGTAATCCCGTGACTGCGCGAGAACTCAAACGCTTCGGAACATGGGGTGGATAGCTCGTGGTATTCGCCGCTCCTCCAAGATCTTGCGCCCCCATTTGCATCGCCTTTTGACCTCGTTGTGAATGTGTGTCCGGGTGCGGGTGCCTGCATCCCCTGGCGAAGCAGTCTCAGTCGAGTGCGATCATCAGCGTGCTACGCGTTTACGCTGGATTATTTGCAAGGCATTCTTTCGGTGACCTCGCACTCATGCAACTTTTTTTGACTATTTCTGACGTGCAAATCATACCAGTTGATGCACACCCGCTGCTGGGCTATTTTCGACGGAATATCACCCCCGCCCGTCGGATGCCCACCTCCCGCGGCTCGTGTTACCAGGAACGCAACACTCCTTCTGCCCTTCTGCGCGGGTTGACAGGCACTTCCAGCATCAATCCCAAGCTTTTGCCCCCTTGCTCGTTTCCCCGGTCCACCCCTCAGCCTGCGCATTTACCAGCTCGTGCTAGTCCATCACTTGCTCATCAACGCAGAGTCCCCGCGCTCTCATATCACAGCCCGTGCACGCCGTCCATCCTAGCGGCGCCTCCCCAGCAATCATGGGTTCCAAGCGTAGCCCAACAAACCTCCTCACGCTCACTCTCACTTTGTTCGCGGCTGCGGTACTACCCCACGCCCGCGCTGCACTCTTCACAGACCCATCGGCGCTCCCCCAGTACAAGGCGTATGACTACATCATCGTCGGCGCAGGCCCTAGCGGCAGCGTGCTGGCGAGCCGACTGACGGAGAACGCGCACACGAACGTCCTTCTCATTGAGGCCGGCCCCAAGTACGTTTGTTCTCCGAACAGCACCCGAACGCGAAGCATACTCATGCATGAGACGTACTATAGCGATGCGGGCGAGTTCGATCTCGAGGTCCCGCTGCTCGCGTCGCAGCTGCAGCCCAACACGGCGTTCGACTGGAACTACACAACTGTCGCCCAATCTGGGCTCGATGGACGCACTGTTCCCTACCCGCGTGGTCGTGTACTTGGTGGGGGCACTAGCATCAGCAAGTATCCATCCCTTACGACGTCTAGTCCTAGCGTGACTGACCTACGCTCGGGCTCACATAGACTTCATGATCTACACTCGTGGCTCGAAGGACGACTTCGACAACTACGCCGCACTGACTGGTGACGAGGGCTGGTCGTGGAACGCGCTGCAGCCATATTTCAAGAAGGTCTGTATCATGCAGCGTTTCCCGCCTAACCCACAACTGACACAACGCATCAGCTCGAGCACTTGGTCCCTCCCGCCGACGGACACGACACGACCGGGGAGGTCCTTCCGAGCATCCACGGAACATCCGGACCCCTCAATATCAGTCTCCCTGGGGCGCCGCTCCCTTCAGACTCGCGTGTTATACAGACCACACAGGAGTTGAGCAGCGAGTTCCCTTTCAACGAGGACATGAGCTCCGGCAACCCACTCGGCATCGGTTCGTCTGACAAGCTACGTACTATATGATAGTGCCGGTCATGCTGACGCGTATGCCGGGTCAGGTTGGATGCAGGGCACGTTCGGGGGCGGAGCGCGTGTGAGCGCGTCCGTGGCGTACCTCCAGCCGGTGCTAGGTCGCAGCAACCTGGATGTGCTCGTCGACACCACCGTGACCAAGCTCACTCAGACGGGAACGAAGGACGGCGAGCCCGTATTCCGCGGCGTGCAGTTCGCGCAATCGAGCAGCGGTACCTCTCTCTCTCCCTTAGACTGGTAGAGAACACGGAGGTTGACGCATATCATTACGAACAGCACCTAAATTCGCTCTCAACGCAACCCAAGAAGTCATCCTCGCCGCCGGGTCCGTCAACACGCCCCAGCTGCTCATGCTCTCCGGCATCGGGCCCGCCAAAGCCCTGAAGGCGCTCGGCATCAAGCCCATCCTCGACCTCCCCGACGTCGGCCAGCATCTCGCGGACCACCCGTTCCTCACGAACCAGTTCGGGGTGGCAGACAGCAGCGACGACCTGATTGACAACGTCTCCCGTAACGGGACGTTCGCAGGCGCGCTCGTCGGCGAGTGGCTCGCTGCGAAGCAGGGTGCCATGACTGTTGGGGGGCAAAGCCAGCTTGGGTGGCTCCGCATCCCCGCGAATGACAGCGCGTTCAAGGGCACGTCTGACCCTAGCGCAGGCCCGCTCTCGCCGCATTACGAGTTTCTGTTCGCGGTACGTGTATGATCCGGTCTCCTCTCGATAACACACTCACATTCTGTCCGCGTTGCTCGCTAGCCCGGCTTCGTATCATCTGGCGGTACACCTGCCCCAACCACCGGCTTCTTCAATACCTTCTTCACAGCTCTGGTCACGCCCACCTCCCGTCAGTACCATGCACAGATCTGCCATCACACTGACATACTCACCCGCTTCCCACCCAGGCGGAACGGTCACCCTCGCCTCCACCGACCCCTTCGCAGCCCCCATAGTCGACCCGAACTTCCTCAGCACGCCCTTCGACATTGCCGCGATGCGCCACGCCGTGCGCTCCATCGTGCGCTTCGCCTCCGCCCCCGCCTGGAGCGACTTCCTCACGGGCCCCGCGGCAGACTTCGCGGACGTCGACATTGACGACGACGATTCGGTCGACGCGTGGGCGCGCGCGCAGGCGAGCACGATCTGGCACCCCGTCGGGACCGCGCGCATGGGGAAGTGCGGGGACGCGGGGGCGGTCGTGAACCCGGACTTGACGGTCCAGGGCGCGCGGGGGCTGCGGATCGTGGATGCGAGTGTTCTGGTGCGTATATGGGTTTGTCCCGGAAGATGTTGGATAGAGTGAAAGGCTGATGCGGATGTGTGTGCAGCCCCTCATCCCGGCGGCGCATCCCCAAGCTGCGATATACGCGTTCGCGGAGCGAGTCGCCGACCTGATCAAGAACGGGACGAGCTCCTGTGAGTGATGTTGCGAGAGTCTTGTTCCTCGGGCACACGGCAGGAGACTGATGGGTGGGTTCGCTATCTCGTTCAGGCGGCCAAGGGAAATGCTCATGCAAAGGTATTTCTTGTCAATACCACAACCGTGACGACTAGCAGTGCTGCATCGCGTAGCTTAGCGTTCGTTGGCTTGCGGAATGCTCTGTGTCCTACAGGCTGGTTGGGCAGACATCGTGGCGTGTTCTACATTCCGAGTTATTGGTCAATCTCGGAGGGACAAATCTGTACAGAGGGACTCTGGATACTTACCATACACACTGACGATAATTTGACATGCAGGCCATTGTGTCATTTGCTCTCCGGTGCACTGGGCGGGAATCAGCGTGATGGCTCGTAAGTACGACCGGCGGCAGCGCACAGCACCGTATGATGGCACTCCGACTCCGAGATGTGCGGATATCCCTTGCCTCGATCTTTCCCCGCACTCCGCCATACCGATCCTATGAACTCCGTTGCGCAAAGCTATCCTCGAGCCACACATGTCCAACGCCACGATCAACCCTGGAACCCGTAATTTTGTCCCTCATGCTAATCCCGCATATGTCAAAGATTCGCCGAGGACTTTTACAAGATCGCAGTACACGCACTAGAGGTTAAGTCAACGGAGTGTTCCACACGAAACACCGTAAAGTGGGGGGAACAACAAACCTTGGCACCTATGGCCGGAGGTTCCTAGGTCCCCGCGCGGAGAACAGGGCCACCACTCCCACGACGCGCACTTCGTGCTCCTCGAACGCGTCCTCCAGTGCCTCCCTCAAGCCCTTCTCGCCATCTTCGCTGTTCGAGAACACGCCCGTGCCGTTGTGCCACTTCATCAGCCGCGCGCCCAGCCAGTTATGCTCCACCCCCTGCCCGAGGATCGTCGACCCGAACACGACGCCCCCCGGGGCGAGCACCGGCGCGACGCGCGCGAACACGTCCGCCCCCTTCTTCGGAAACGCCCCCGGCAAGCAATGGAACAGGTAGAACAGCGCGACGGAGTCGTACGTCCCACCCATCCCCCCGGGGAACGGGTCAAACACGCTCTGCTCTACCGCGGCGACCTCCGGTCCCCGGAACCCGCCGCTCGCGAGACGGCGCTGCGCGTGCGCGAGCGTGTTCGGGTTGAGGTCGAGGAACGTGAGGGTCTTGAGCTTCGCGAGGCGCGCGGGGGCCGCGGCGGGGTAGTACCCCGTGCCGACGCCGATCTCGAGGTGCGCGCTCTCGCCAATGTGCTGCTGGTAGAAGGGGAGGAGGGTGCCGCGCGTGGAGCAGCGCCAGGCGAGCGCGTTGGAGAGGACGAGGACGATGAGGTCGTACAGGCGGAGCATGAGCTTCGTGTATATGGTTGCGGAGGGATCCATGGGGGCGGTCTGGTGGGGTACAATGGGGGTGCTGCCGGCGGATGCGAGAGTGGTGTACTGAGACACAGAGGGGGGCTACTCGACTCCCGGATGGCCTGCAGTTTTGAAATGGGCTACTTCGTTTCGTCACCGGCGAGGCAATTTGCATTGCATCCGCTGTTGATGGGAGTCTGCATACTCGTGGTAGATCGCAGTCCTTGCAAAACTCGATCAAAACAACCCACTGTGACCCACATTTGACCCGTGAAGGTTTGAGCCGAGCCCGGATGTTCTTATGCGGGTTGTGACATCCGGCGTAGCACACGTCCAGGGTGAACATGTTACTGCGTGTAAAGAATACTGCGACTGCCATTCGTTGGATGCAGGACGGAGTTCTGCCGGCGCCGAGGAAGTCGGCGTAGGAGGACGTCGGAGTACGGAGACCGATCGCAGTCTGAGAAGTGTTCATGGCAAGGCCTGGGTGTACTTCCTCAGGCTGGGCTCGGCTGAAAACACTCGCACTGACTGGCTGCAGTTGCACACTGGCACGCCCAGGGCGAAGATGTCCTCGCGTGTGATCGGCACCCGGTCTTGTGGATAAACAAGAGCTTTTTTCGATGCCGAATCGGAGGACGTCGGTGTCAAAGAGGTAGATGTAGGCGACGAATCCGCGAAGTGCCGAGTGAGATCGCGCCACGAATAATGTCGAAGATGTGTACGTCGACCCTAGACGTGCACAAGAGCTACGCTTGCGTCGATTATTGTGGGCTCCAATGTCACTGCTTCTGGAAACGTAGGAAGGACGTGTAAGTCACATTTCAATTACGCTCGTCCACGCTGAACATGCCGGCTCGCGCTCGCTGTGGCCGTGCAGTCACAGGTGCACGCCTCTAAGGTAAACATGTTCACGAGGACGAAGAACACTGCGAACGCTTCACGCGCAGTATGGCTGACTGCGACGGGGTTCTCCTGGGGCCGAGGACGTCGGTGTAGAGGAAGCGGTCGCATTCGGGGAACCGGTAGAAGTGTCGAAAGTGATCGTGCCGTGAACGAGGTCGGAACTGTGCCCACGTCGACGGCATCGAAGCATGTAGACATGAGAGGCTCGGCTATACCATGTATACTTGTCCTGTCCCGGGCGCCGTCGTGTGCATGTCTGTCCCCAAAGGAGTTGTGTATGTGGTTCATATTATCGCGTAGTTCCCATGTAACTTCGGGTCGCCGGCAAAGTTTCAGAGTCAGGTCCTCCGGGACGCCATAGAATGAGAGTTACATCACAAAGCGGGACAGTGAGTGAGTGCCTGTCAGATATTGTTAGGTTGGCCATTCATCTGCGTTGGAAACTAGTCGGAATACTAGCCCGCCATGTGTGCGCCGGCATGACGTATTGAGTAAATAAGCTTACCAGGTTACGCCTGGACAACTTGGCTTAAAGCACCCTATGTATAGTTAGTTTGGACAGATGGCGGCCAGAGATGAGAGATCGCTCTCGCCGTAGTTGACCTCAGGCTAAGTATTTGTCGTGAGCTCGAGTACCATTTGCCGCAGAGAGATGTTTTCACGCGAGGACGAGTGAAGCACTGAGATTCATTGAGCAAAGACAGAATCCTTGAAAGGCGAGTGCGTATGTGAGTGGATGCGAGCGATCGCAGAGCTTGCGACTCGATGAGGGGGAAGAGCAAATTACTTAAGGCGAGAGCGATTTGGAGGAGTAGATCCCGATCGGGAAGCCGTTGGCCCCAGATCCTAACAAAGCCAAACAGCATCCAGTCATCCTCCTGCTGTGTTTCTTCTTAGCCTCCACCTCCGCCACCGTACCCAGTCTGACCATGTTGCAGATCGACCATGCAACGCATGCATTTCACTCTGTTTGGCTGGCAGATGAGGGAAACAAGAAATATCCACATCCTTTATCCCTACGGTTCTGTCAGAGGTGTCCGAGAGGTAACGACCGCACGAACCCAACGGGGGCTTCACCCAAGGTCACTCTACTAGCTGTCCTGCACGCCACGCGCTCAGCGGGCGGGCTCGCTGTACGTTGCTGGCGCTGCGCACTGACCTAGGGCAGACGAGAATGGGCCAGACCGGGCATTCTGTTCGGTCCCGAACACCCGCCCACGCTTCTCCGTGCGACGGCGCCCCCGTTCCATTCTCACGGCCCGCAAGCAACGCCTACCGAGACGGAAGGCGACCTGCGTCCTATGTCTTCCGCCCACGCGCCCCGCCCGCCCCGCGCCCATATGCCCGCCTTCTCCTCCCGCCTCGCGACCGCCCGCGCCTGGGTCGACCCCGAATCCCTCCCCGCCTACCTCGACGCCGCCGATATCTCCGGAAACGTCCCGCAGCACATCAAGCAGCTCGTCCTCAATACTCTAGGCGCGTATGGCGTCGGCGGTAGCGACTGCTTCGCGCATACAGTCGGGCGCCGCATCCGCATCGCGGAGATGAACTGCCATAAGCGGGGCGAGAAGACGGAGGTCGTCGTCGTCGCCGAGGCGCAGGCGTGCAAAGGTGCGCATCGCTGACTATATGCGCCGTTCCGTCGTCTCATCTACCTTTCATATCTAGAGATGCTGAATGGCGCGGGCACTGTGCACGGTGGCTGCCTCTGCTATCTCATCGACAAGTGCGTTCCCTCCCCTCGATAGTCCGGCAACGACGCGTTCTACCCCGGACACATACCACTGTAGCTGCGCGTCCTTCCCACTCGTCGCGCTCGGGCTTATGCTGGAGATCAACGGCGTCGGGGTCAGCCAAGCCATGAATGTCTTCTTCCACGCGCCTGCTGCCATGTGAGCTCTCCGTGCTTCTAGTTGTACGCGTCGATATGCCTAACAGCTGCTTCTAGAGATACATGTATGCGCATAACGAGCACGTCCGTTACCCTCGGCGGGCGAATAATGACGTCTCGGTGCGAGGTAAGCCTGCATCAACTTGCTCCTTGGCGTTGAGTACCCTCCCGCGGCCACGCGAGCTAGTTTTGAGTACTATGCTCAACACCCGTCTCGCATGTGATAGGTGACCGACAAGAATTCGGGCAGGCTCATCGCCTCCGCGCTCCTCAGCAAGATGCAGCCGACGAGCCCCGCCGTCCGCGTCAAGGCGCGCCTATGACCCAGAACACCGCGCATACAGCCACCTCCCACCGCGCCCATGCGCCCAGGGTACTCCATCTACCATCAGCGCACCGGCACTTCCGGCACTCCTTACACCTCGGACGGGGAAAACCGTCGCACTGCAGCACATTCCACCCTGCGGGCTCCACCCCTCCACCCGCTCGAACGCTTTATACTTATAGATCAAGCACGCAAGACACCTCTCATGTACAACATTCGGGCCCCACTGCTCGCTCGGTTCTCTGGTCTGGCCGTGGAGGTCTGTGGACAGGTAGCATTTAATCAGTTTGGACGGACACAGGAATGGAAGCGGGTACGAGTTTTGTGTTGGTACGAAGTTTACATATGATGCCACAGCGCGCCCGTAACAAGACAGGGCGACACCTTCGCGAGGATATTCCTACAAGTATCGAAATGCCTCATTCTCGTGCGTGTTTTGCCTGTGCCGCCCCCATGCATATAACACCGCTCCGCACGCACGTCATCGCCGCGCCTTTCTGTGCGCTCAGCTTCCCAGAGCCTTTCTGTCTCGTTGCACTACATCCCATGCTCGCAAGCTCAGGTTCCACTATCTACTCGTGGATCATGGGGTTCCAGCAGTACTCTGAGTGCTGGCGACTCATGTGTTCAGTATGCAGCGACGCCGACGCTGAGGATCCCCGTCGTAGGTGGAGCCAGGTATGTCCTTAGCTATAAATCCTGCTCGCGTTCTCACAAAAGATGCACTTCTTACAGGACCACGGGGAGCTCTAGCTACAGCATACAACCACCATACATCGCGTATACAACCACCGCCTGCCGCGCCCACGCACTCAACGTGACCCACCAGTACACCGGCCTACCTGCCTCAGCCGGGGAAGACCGCTGCACCCCGGTACCTCCTAGCACGCGGGCTCCATCCGTCCACCCGCTCGAGCATTTTTATACTTATGAATCAAGCGCGGACTTGAAGGATACTTTCCGTGTACAACACTCCGGCTTTACCGCTCGGTCGGCTCCCTGACTCGATCGCAGAGGTCTGTGGCATGTCGCATTTAACCGGTATAGAATGGAAGCGGCTACGCGTTCTGTATCTGCTGTTCCAGGACAGCGCAGCGCGCATGGAGCAAGACGGGTCGACAACGTCTCAAGGGTTTCACGTTCCCTGCAAGTATCAAATTGTCGCAAGCGGCAAGGCCGACGCCAAATATCTTCACAAGACCATGGCGCGCCCTAGATGCACACTCGCTAATCGTGGCTAGTACACTGCTTGAGTCTGGTGCCAACGCAAGCTGTGAGATGCAGCAGCACTCCCGGGCCTTCGAGGACGGTATCCCTCTCTGCGCCGTCCAAATTCTCGGTGTTCTCTTTCACGCAAATAAGCTGCAAGTCGGCTCTGAGGCATGCGGAGCGGTTCATACGGCGCGACGATCCACTTGTATGTCATTTCGCTGGGGGGAAGCTCGCATTTCGTAAACTCCCTTACGCTGCTCATCTGCGTCAACCAGCTCTACGCGAGCACTCAGGATCTTGTGATGCAGTCAGCGATCCCGATGAGAAGGTAGTTCTCTGTGCTGCGGTAGTCCTGAGACGCTCAGGTCGGCAGTCGTTTGCCATATAACGTCCGGGCTCGTACATTGCAGCTAATTCAGATCCCCTCATCGCACTGGCAGCTGCATCACAACTTAGGCTTGAATATCATCTGTTTCCCCTGTGGTCCATACCACTCCGCCAGTCCACGAAGGCCCATAACACCTAATGGCGCCCAAAGTCACCCTCTGTTCGACGCCCACGTCCATCAACCTGGCCGTCTCTGCCCTGTCCACCCACTCCGTCATCCTCATCGACTGCGAAGCACAAGACCTCGGCAGGCCCGGCGGCGTCCTCAGCCTCATCTCTCTCTCCGACCCCCTCGCAAAGCACGTCTTCCTCATCGACGCGCTTGCCTTCCCGTCCACCTACCCCATTCCACCCCGATCCCGATCCAAGTCCAAATCTAAAGCCCCTCCACCCACGCCGCCCCCGCGCCCACACCCCGCGCTCGCCCCGCTCCTCGCGCTGCTCTCCCTCCCACACATCACCAAGGTCTTCTGGGACGGCCGCGCCGACGCGCTGGAGCTGCACCTCTGCTACGGCCTCGCCCTCACCAACATCCTCGACCTCCAGCTCGTCGACGTCGCCGCGCGCGTGCGCAATTCCACCCCAGGCCAGCCCGCCCCGGACCTCATCCGCGGGTTCTTTAAGCCAATTCGCGCGGAGGTCGAGCGCGATCCGGGGGCGTACGCGGACATCTACGCGCTGCGCGGCCTCGCGCACGCCGTCGGCTGGTTCCAGCTCCTGCCCAAGAACAAGGACGGCGAGCAGACGCTCAAAGACCGTGAGCCCCCCTTCCCTCCTCGTTGTATCCCGTCGCTCATGCTCACTCCGTGCCAGCGGCGGTCGTCGCGATGCACGAAAGCGGCGGATCCGCGCTCTGGCTCACCCGCCCGCTCCCGCCCGCGCTGCTCACCTACGCCGCACACGACCTCACGCTCATCGCGCTCCTCCACGCGCACTTCACGCGCCGCGCGTGGGTGCGCAAGACCATGCCCGTGCTGCTCGCGCAGTCCGCCGCGTACGTCGGCTCGATCGGCTCGCGCGAGGAGAACGCGCGCCTGGGGGAGATGGACTTGAAGCGATTCATGCCTTTGGGGATATTAGATGGGGGTAAGGAGGAGGAGGAGGGCCCGTGGTATGCGTGTGCGTGTTGTGGGAGGGAGATGGCGGTGGGGTGTTTTGTGACGAGGGCGGGTGGTGTAGAGGATGGTGCGAGGCAGGGGGTGGGATATGCTCAACGAGCGGCGGTGCAGAACCGACAGAGGCTGTCGTATTGCCGGTTGTGCAGTGCGGTGGCGCGGAGGCAGGGGCGGACGCAGGGCGAGTGGGTTGCCTGTTGACCTTGGATGCGATACGCGTATTACAACCTGAGGTAGTTTCATGAAATGACGCATGCGCATTGAATAGGAACCTACTAGCCTGTCGGCCTCTCCTCAAGTTTCGTATGACTATGGTATGTTGAATGCGTATAGCGTTGAACATTGACACGCAAGCGTGAGCGAGTGCATCCCCGTTGCGTTCGAGGGTACCAGCCGATCGCCGGTCAACACAAACAACGAATCATCCATCGTAGTAGAATACTAGTACACAAGAAAACTGGCCTGAATTCGGCGCACACGGTCTCCAAGTCTGCAACAACGGGCCTTAAGAACCCACCAGGTCACACGACCTCCTTCCCCGCGCGCACGCCACGAGCCACAGCACTTTCCACAAAGTTCAGCTCGATCACCGCGGGTGCCATGTCCGCGTCGTTCGTCGCGTCGCGCATCGCGCGTCGAGGCTACGTGGCCGAAACGTCAACATATATACAGACTCTGAGCTTGTGTAAATCGTCCTGACCTGTGGCGTGTATGCATCGCCGCTACTGGTGCTCCCAACGGGGGCCGGTGCGAACCCGAAGGCAGAGATCTCGTCGGAGACGTTCGATCCGCCGCATGATGCGATGTATTGCCTAGAATTCAGCCTGCGCGTGGCATCGTAGTCTAGGTCAGAAGACGGGAGCCACAACGGCTGGGCAGCTAGGAGAGCACATACGCTGCGAGCAGGGCGTTCGCGTAGACTTCCGCGGACCCACACAAATCAGCGCTTGGTCTATGAAATATGGAAGTCACTCACGTTTCGTGGTTGGAATACCGACAGCGGCGTAAACAAGCTTTCCAGGGAATACGAAAGCCTTCAGGAATGGAACATAAGACGTCAGACAAGGCATCGCGAAGCGACAAGGAGACAGCGTACTAGAATAGTGTTCAGGATATCTCCAATCCTAAACTCAGATAAACGGGTCAGCTACGCAACGCGTAACATCAATGAGTGGCCAATCACCCCGTAAGCAGCCCTAGGATACTTAAGTGAGGAGACTGTGGAAATGACTTGGAGGCGTAGACGCACCGGTGCTGACTGAATACATGATCATGAGGTCGATCATAGAGTCCGTCCTGGACCAAGACGTGGTGAGCAGCACGTACTACCACACCCTTCGTACTAGGCCTTACTTCTTAAACCCGGTTCGGCTCCGGTGGAGGACATGGATGAGTATAGATGCAAGCAGTAAGTCCCCTACCAAGGACGCCAAACCGGCGGCCACTGCTATATAATTCTATCAAGTAAGCAAATTCCATTAATTTCCGCATTGTTTGAGAAGACACCACTCTCACCCCCGAGATAAATTCATCTTGGAAGTTTCGGACGTGATTGGCTCCAATAAACCTATGGAAGGCGGCGTGAGCGCTGACCACTCGTCGCCGCCCACTCACAAGTCACAGACCCTTCGATCGTCATGGCTAGCAACGGATGTCGCGTGAATACATTATGAGTCTGCTCAGGAGTGTGAGGTATACCTGTAACGAATCCTGCAGCAACATCCCAATAAGCCGGAGAATACGTCGACGCAGAGTGACACCGGGTGTCGCGGGCTTACCTAGCGCAGATAGTGTGCACAAGATCTAGACGTTCGCGACGTGGTTGATCATTGCCATCCTCAAGAGCGTGACCGACCACCCACCGAGACTATCACCAATGGCCTGAAACGTGCGCCGATTATCCAAACCCTGCGGACAAAAAAACTGCGCGCGCATCTATGTCAGAGCGGTATGAATGTCGTGACTACGGCATGGCCACAACCTTTGAGATATGGCCGCGGCGAGTCCCTGGATGACGGTGAATGTGATGTAGTAGTAGATGGTAAATTGGTTTAGAATATAGAAAACATATCACTCACGGATGGAAAGGAGAGCATCTGAAAGTCGTGATGGTTTCATGAAACCGACCGGATATCAGTCGCTACGATAGAAAGATCGATCCGGGGAGAGGCCAATCTTACATTGAACGTCCTTGTACGCCTATTGTAAATGTGTTTCACTAGTCGAAAAGAGGAGGACGAACCATGATGTGTGTGTGAGCATCTGTGACTGAGAGTAGTTCGCTACAAGCTGGTAGTAGCTGGAGTTGCAATGCTTTTTGTGAGCGCAGACCCCACACCCACTGCGTGATAAGATTATGCCGTACCATGCGTGTATGCCTAGAACGCTCGCAAAGGTCTCTAAAACGCTGGTGGATGTTGTATAAGCAGGAAAAGCAGATGGTTCCAGGATATCCCGAAGAAATTACTGACAGGACCATTGCGACCTGGGTGATCTGAGTGTTAGCCTGCCAAAAGAGTCCGTCGCTGCTCAATTATATGCTTACCAAAATTTTGAGCCATGTGGAATCGTTTGGATACAGGCGAATGTAGCGATATGCTTGGTGCAAGGCGAGGCCGTACAAACTGCCAAGCATCGGTTGGCTCAGCTTCATGCGTGTGCACAGAAGTGACGCTCACATCAGCCCAAGAAAGGTCCCTATCATGAGCGCCCCGTAAGTGTGGTCCAAATCGCGGATTGTTGGAGGGGCTATAGACGAGGGGATTTGTGCTGTAGACATGCCAGGACAGGTTCTGGAAGGGTTTGTAGTGCTATACGGGGGAGAGACCGTCCTCTGAGGCACCTCCTGATAACTATATACAGTCAACATGTGTCATGAATTTGAGATATCTTTGAAATATCAGGCTCAATCGAATCGGGCCACCCAAAAGCTTCTTGAGTCGCGAAGGTTGTGGCAGAACAACTTCCTTCACATATGACAGATAGACACCCCTGTGCTATCACGGGTACGATTACACCGTGACTGTGCGCAAGTATGGCTGCTGCATAGCTTCTGCACAGCCGAAGGTTAGTCGCTTGTTCGTCAGAGCAAGGCTCTTACCGTCCTCTTACCGTCCGTACGCGTCGATCAAACCATGCACGACGTTAACGCTTGCCATCTGACGAGCCAGGACGCTCTGCTCCTTGCGCCATCCTGGTATGGGCTCAGACGGCCTGATTGAGTTTATGGGTGTTGTACGGAGAAGCCTGCAATGACAGGTGGTGTGGAAACCCGGCCGAGTAGAACAGCAACGATAGATGAGAGCAGGATGTCGCGGGCGCCTGGATGATACGTGCTCGAATGCACCGGGCCAAAAGACTACTAAACCCGCAGACTCACAAGATCAGTACCCACGGGTTCAAGACAGACCTAAATGCGCACCAGGTGACCGTATAGGAGGGGTAAGTTTCGATGGACGCCCTCGCTTTCGAGAGAGAAACTTGAACGAAGGAGAGTGATCAAACAGGAACGCGAGCTTCGTTTTGGCCAGATCCCGATCGGGACGCCATTGGCCCTGGATCCTAACAACACCAAACAGCGCGCAGTCATCTTATGCCCTCTTTGTTTCTTCGGATCTCTCTTCGCCCTCGGCTCCTCTATAGGCAGGAAGTGGGCTCGCCTTCGTAAAACACTGGGAGTCGCTCAGTATTCTTTACCGTTATGCGAGCAGCCGCGCAACTACGCTGGAGTTCATGGAGAGAAGGTAGGTAGTGCTTATATGTGCTGCGGCCCGGGTCACCCTCTGCTCGACTACTGCGTCTATCGTACTCGCTTTCTCCTCCCTCTCCATCCAATCCTTAGTCCTCGTCGACGTCGACTGCGAAGCGCAAGATCCCGACAGGCCGGGTGGAGTCCTCGCCCTCATCTCGCTCTCGGACCTACTCGCCAAACACCTCTTCTTCGTCGACGCGCTCGCGTTCCCCTCCACCCACCCCCGCCCGTCTCCTTCCAGATCCAAATTCAAATCTACTCTCCAAACCTCGCCCTAGCACTCTGCGCTTTCCCACCTCCCTTGCGCTGCTCTCCCTCCCACACATCACCAAAGTCTCCTGGGACGGCCGCGCAGACGTGCTGCACCTCTGCTATGGTCTCGTCCTATCTGATGTCCGCCAAGTGCAGCTTGTCGACGCCAGCTCGCGCGTGCGCAACTCTACTATAGGGCAGCCCGTCTCGAACATCCTCCGCGGGTTCCTCAAACCGCTCCGCGCGGAGATCGAGCGGAACCCGGCACTGAACGCGGACATCTACGCGCTGCGCGGCCTCGAGCACGCCATTTTCCGGTTTCAGCTCCTCCCCAACAACAGAGGGCAGACGCTTAGAGACCGTGAGCACCACTTGCCCCAGCTTTCTCCCTTCCCCTGCGTACCTCGCGCTAGCGGCGGTCGCCGCGGCGACGCACGCCTCGTGTGGGTCCGCGCTCCAGCTCGTACGCCTCCCGCCTACACTACACATACGCCGCGCTTGACCTCACACTCATCGCGCTCCTCCACGCTCACTTCACGTGCCGCGCGTGGGTGCAGCGCGCCCTCCCCGCGCTTCAGGCGTAGTCCGCCGTGTACGTCGGCTCGATCGGCTCGCGCGAGGGGGTGAGGTCCCGGTTGTCTTGCTACGCACATCTATTACACCGAGTAGGGGGCATATAACCCAAACTCGCACAATGACACGCAAGCGAATGTGAGCGAGCGCATCTTCGCCGGGTCTGACGGTACCAGTTGGTTGCCGGTCAACATAAACAGTACGGAATCCACTGCAATAGAATTCTGGTACACACGATCCGGCGCACACCGTCTCCGAGTCTGCGTCCATGGAAAGTCAGGTTACACGACCTCCTTCTCCGCGCGCACGCCGCGAGCCCCAGCACCTGCCACTAAGCTTAGCTCGATCACCGCGGGTGACATGTCCGCGTCGTTCGTCGCGGCGCGCATAGCACGTCGAAGCTGTGCAGGCAAAACGTCAATATCGGTATTCACAGACTCCGCACCAGTAGAGATCACCCTGACCTGTGGCGTGAATGCCTCCTCGCCACCAGTGCTTCCCGGAAGTGGGGGCGGTGCGGATCCAAAGACGGAGATCTCGTTGGAGACGCTCGAGCCGCCGCACGATGCAATATACTGCCTGGAATTAAGCCTGCGCGCGGCGTAAGAGGCAAAGTTAGATTGTACAAGGGAGCAACGATAGGCAGTTGAGAGAGTACATACGCCACGAGAAGGGTGTTGGCGCACACTTCCGCGAACTCGTCAATGATCTGCACCTTGTCCATGGAACATAGAAGCCACTCACACTTCGTGGCAGGGATACCGACAACGACATAGACTTGCTGTGCAGGATATACCATGGCCTGCGACAAGGGAATGGGAGACGTCAGACGAGGAACTATTGGGAGCTACCATGGGAAGATGTACGAGTATAGTGGTCAGAATTTCTGCAATCCTATGGTTGAACAGGTAAGCTAGGCGAAGCGTCTGATTAGAATACGCGGTTACTCACTCCGTAAGCAGCCCTAAGAGATTCAATAGTGGGGACGGTTAACACCGAATAAACGATGTCTCTAATGCATGGACGCACCGGTGCCGACTGAATACATGATCATAAGGTCGATCATTGAGTCTGTTCTGCATGAGTGACCAGACATGTGTGAGCCTCGGCACAGACTGATTAGTCTTTGGGTTTTACCTCTTGTACCCGGTCCGGCTCCGGTGGAGGACATAGATGAGTACCGACGTGAGCAGCAAATCCCCCACTAATGCCAGAGCGGAAGCGATCGCATTCTTGGTCTGTGAGGCGAAAGAATCCGCTCAGTAGCCGTACTGATGATAATAGAGATGTATCAAACTCTTACCCCCAAGGCAAATTCTTCTTCAAAGCTCGAGTCCTGGTCGGCTCCAATAAACCTATGGAAGGCCACGTGAGCGAGAACCATTACTCACTCCCTGCTGAACGAGTCGCAAACCCTTTGATCGTTACAGCTGACAACACGTGCGACGTGAGAGATTGATTCGTCTAGAACTTGAGTAGCATACCTGTCAAAACTCCTGCAGCGGTGTACCGATAAGAACACGTCGATGTGAAATAGCAGCGAAGAACGCATGCTTACCTTGAGCTGCTAGAGTGCACAAAATCTAGTTCCCGACAGGTTTGCTCATCAACAATACAAGAACACATGTTACCACTTACTGAGACGATTACCAAAGGTCTGAAACGTGCGCCGATGATCCAGACCCTGCGGACGAAGAAGCTGCGGAAATGTCAGTATTACACTGGTGGGACGGTTACCACAGTACTAGTTGTAAAGACCACAACCTCTGCGATATAACCATTGCGAATCCCTGGGGGCAATATAAGTGGTATGATAGCATGTGGTATACGTAGAACTTACAGATGCCGACGCAAGCAGCTGGGAACCATGGTAGTACCAGTAAACCGACCGGACATCATTAACCATTTTTGAACACCCGAGCCAGAGAGGCTAATCTTACGTTGAGCGACCTGGTAGGCGTATCAGAGATTAGGTTCGCACTTCATGGAGATGATCATGACGGACCACGATGGGCGTGTGAGCGCCTGCGGATGAAAGTAGTTTGTCACGAGCTGGTAGTAGCTTTATACTCCTTGTAAGTACAGGCACTCGTATTATATAAGAGACCCATGTCATACCATGCGTGCACGCCCAAAAAGCTCGTAAAAGTCTCCGCAACCCTGATGTATGCTATATTAGCGATTGTATTCGAACTGTTATAGTTTGAGAGGCATACTGACAGGACCATCGCGACCTGCGCGAACTGAACGTCAGCCTGCAAGTCAGCGACTATAATGTCGATCGAAATGCTTACCAGAATATTGAGCCATTTGGAATCGTTTGGATATAGACGAAAATAGCGGTATGCTTGGTGCAATGTTAGTCCATATAAGCTGCCAAGCGTCAATCGGCTCAGCTTTACGGCGCACTTGCACGAATGCGACACTCACATCAGTCCTAGAAAGGTCCCAATTAGAAGCGCTCCGTAGGTGTTGTCTAACGCGGGGACTTCTGGCAGGGCTGTAGATTTGGGGAGTTGCGTCGTGGACATGGGCGAGGTGTTGGAAGGGTATGTGGCGCTATGCGGTGGGCTAACTGTCCTCTGAGACACCTCCTGGTGAGTATATATATCTCGCACACTCGAATTGAACGTGAGGCATAGAAGATGTCGAAGATCAAACCAAACCACCCAAAAATTTCTTCCGTCGCGAAGCGGTGTAACGGGACCACTTCATTCGCATTTAACAGATAGCGACCACTTTGTACGTGTACACGGTGCGCAAGTACAGCTTTTGTATAGCTTCTGCATAGCTGAAGATTAGTTGCTTTCTTGTTAGAGCAAAGCTCCATTCATTCGCCGGCATCGATCAAACCGTGTATAACGTGAGCGGTTGCAATCCGGTGACGTGCAAGGACGCCCTGCTGCAGACGCCATCCCAGCATGAACTAAAAAGGTCTAATTGAGTGGTTTGGTGTCTTTCACCGCAATTCCTGATAACGGATGACGTGGAGAACTGGCCGAGTAAAGCAGCAACAATGGATGAGGAAGGATGCTGCAGTGCGGGCGCCGTGAATGATGCATTGGGACAACTTAGGACTGCGAAACCTGCAGCCTCCCAAGATTGTTATCGCTGAGTAGAAGGCAGAACCAAGTGCGCACCAGCTCATGACAGAGACATGGTTATTGACGATGATACAAGAGAGGGATACCTTCGAGAGAGAAACGAAGGGGATGCAGCCGGAATGTCCATGCACATCCGTTGATGAACAGGAACGCGCACAAGAGGGAGTAACGAAGAAGTAGATGAATTGTACACTTCACGGTGATTGGGATCAAGCGGGACCGGCCGTACAGCAGAGGAATTAGCGGAGGAAAGTGGGAGTGAGACTCGTAGAGGTTCAAGAATACGAGATTCGTTCAGCCTCAGGTAGCAGCGTTGGCGACAGATCCCGATCGGGACGCCGTTGGCCCTGGATCCTAACAGCACCAAATAGCGCGCAGTCATCCTATGCCGCAACTATGCCGTCTTCATTTCTTCGCTTGTACCTCTGCCCTCGCTAGGCAGGAAGTGAGCTCACTATCGTAAAGCACTGGACTATATCCGCCAGTATACGAGCACTCTCGGAGTTCTCGGTGGGAAGGTGGTGTCTTCTGCGTGCTGCGGTAGTCTCGAGACGCCCAGGCCGACAGGGGCCGCTCGCCATAAAACGTTCGGACTCGTACATTGCGACCAGTTCGTACCCCTGACAACCACTCAGGCTTGCACTGTACAATTGGCGTCTCCTCTGGCTCATCCTCACTAGGAGTTCACGCAGGCTCATGATCGCCAATGGCGTCCAAAATCACCCTTTGCTCGACTCCCGCGTCCCTCGGACTCGCCGTCTCTGCGCTCTCCACTAAATCGGTGATCCTCGTCAACTGCGAGGCGCAGGACCTCGGTTTGCCCGGGTGCGTCTTCAGCATACTCTCACTCTCTGACCCTCTCGCGGAACATATCTTCCTCGTCGACGTGCTCGCCTTTCCCTCTTCTCCGACACATTGCGCCTCTTCCACTGCCCCGCCTCCCATCCCGCGTCCTCACCCCGCGCTCGCTCCTATCCTCGCCCTTCTCTCTCTTCCACACATCACCAAGGTCTTCTTCGACGGCCGTGCAGGCGTGTTGGAGCTTCTGCTCGCCTACGACCTCGTGCTCGCGAACGTCCTCGACTTGCAGCTTGTCGAAGTCGCCGCGCGTGCGCAGAAGTCTAAGCTTAGCCTTAGCCGAATTGAACCACACCTCCTCAAACATTCCTTCAAGACAATCGCCGCCGAGGTCGAGCGCAACCCGAGCGCGTACGCAGGCATCTACGCGGTGCGCTGTCTCGAGCACGTAGTTGGCTTTTTCAAGCTCGCGTCCTTCGCCAACAAGCCAAAGGACCGTGAGTACCTCCGCTTATAGATCGCTTCGCATTCCTAGGCTCATATTGCTCTACGCCAGCCGCTTTCGTCGCGATGCGCAGAGCATGCGGGTCGGCGGTATGGCTCGCACGCCCTCTCCCAGAGCCCCTCCAGACCTCCGCCGCGTACCACCTCACGCTGATCGCGCTCGTGTACGCACACTTCATGGACAGACAGCGGGTGGTCGAGCACATGCGGACGCTCCGCGCCCAGTCCGCAGTGTATCTGGGCCTGCTCAGCTCGCGTGAGGAGAACGTGCGCGTGAAGGAGCTCAAACTCACGCGATTCTTGCCGCTGGGGATCATCGACCGGGACGAGGACGAGGACGCCGACGAAAGCGTGCCGCGATACGGCTGCGGCTGCTGTTGTCGGGATCTTACCATGGACTGCTACACGACGCGGATCAGCCCCTGTTGTAGTTTTAATGTATTATAAACCGTTTATATGCCTGCGGCGCATTACATTATAAACCGTTCCGGTTCGTAATGTATTACGAACACCCCGGGGGCCCGAGGCATCTGCCCGGCACCTAGGCAGTGGCAGGGATAGGGATATTACCAGAGATATATTGGGATACTGACAGGGATCCAGGGTACAGATACACATATGTTGGATCCCTATGAATCTGTATACCTGGCACGGATTTCCCTATCCCAGCGGGGATATCCTGAACTACTAAGGGATCTTGAGTACGGTTGGTCTATCTCGGGTGCTGCCGCTCTATTTAGTCTCCTAGCGCCAACGTTGATCAGCTACTCGTTCCATAACGGGCAGAAAAGCCTAATATATCGAAGATACTGGCCTCCTTGCCTGAAATGGACACTGGCCGTCATTTGGTGGCACAGAACTGTATAGACCCAGGCTTCGAGGCAGCTCGCAATCGATCCACTCTCAAAACCTCATCGCCGGACGTGAAAAAATTCAAATCATATCTCAGCCTACTACTCTCCAAAGCCGTATTCAAGGTACGCCAAACTCCATGCACTCGGATATCAGCCTTCACAATGCATTGTACATGCTGACCTATAGGTGTACCAGCTGCAATGGGTCGTGAAACCAGAACATCCACCAAGGGCAAGGCCAACGGTGTCGACCTCGCGTCGAAGCAGACTAAGCTGGAGATGATGAAGGGCAGTGCTCCTGTCGCAGCCCCCAGCACGAGCAAAAGCACCCGCAGCCACGGTACAGCTACTACCACCACTGATGACGATGCTGCACCCGCCAAGAGGAAGAGTCGGCCGTATCAGGCGTCTGTCGAGGATGCAGAGGACGAGGACGACCAGCCCAAACAGCAGCCGAAGAAGAAGAAGGCCTCGGGGCCCATCGTCATCAGCAGCGGCGATGAGGCAGGCTCCCAGAGCGGTGAGGATGGCGAGGACGCCAACGCTGAGGTTGAACTCGGTATGTACTACTACAGACAATACATGCACCATCTCGCTGATAGCACTCTAGCACGCCTGCGGAAGCGATGGAACTCGCCCATGTACGCGTTCTTCAAGGAGGCCGTCGTCATCGAGAACCACAAGGGGCGACGCAGCCATGTCTTCTCTTGTGCGCGAAACAACTGCGCGTACACGCTCCGACGCTACGTGGACAAGAACGATCGCTCTACAGGTAACATGCGAAAGCATGCGCTCAGTTGTTGGGGCGAGGAAGCCGTCGCCCGCGCGATGGAGACTGCGGACGACCGTGAGGCGCGCCGCCTGGTCGTCCAGAGTATCCTGGAAACGGGACGGATTAGCTCGTACTTCCCTCGTCAGAAGAGAGGCAAGGTAACTTACAGTCACATGCAGCACACGCGCGAGGAAACAAAGTACGTGAGCGGGTCATTACCATTCGACTACGTCGCTGATCTTGCTATTCCTAGGATCGAGATCGTCAAATGGGTCAGCCAAAGTATGCGGCCGTTCAGCGTCGTCAAAGACCCGGGGTTCTTGTCTCTCATGAAGACTGGCCGGCCTGGCTACTACGTGCCGTCACCCTCGACCGTCTCGCGCGACGTCAAGCTCGTGTTTGCCAGGACGCGGCGGCGCATCGCAAAACTGCTGCAGGTCAGCGTCTGATACACCTACGTGGGTACTAGGAGACTTACTTTCCCTGCAGGATTACGATGGGAAGCTGAGCTTCGCGACCGACGCCTGGACGTCGCCTAACCACCGTGCCTTTGTGGCGATCACGGTGCACCTGGAGTACGAAGGTCAGCCGATGAGGTTGCTTCTTGACCTGGTTGAGGTTGCTAAGGTACGTACTTCCGCTGATGTGTTGTGACCGCGATCGACGCTGATGTGGTCGCCCTCCATAGTCCCACACTGGCGTCAACCTCGCCAAAGCCTTCGTGGAGGTCCTGGAAGAGTTTGGCATCGAAGAAAAGGTCAGTAATTGTCTTGCAACGGCAACGATCATGCACTAACCTTCGCCATCCTTCAGATCCTGAGCATGACCTGCGACAACGCCAGCAACAACGACACCATGACGGCAGAGCTCGCCGATCTGCTTACCGAGTTCCAGGGCGAGTACTCGCGCACCCGGTGCTTCCTCCATATCACAAACCTCACCGCCATGAGTCTTCTGCGCGAGTTTGATGTCAAGACTGTGGAGGATGTCGAGGCGACTGACGAAGATGTACGCGCCCTGCTGGATCTTGCGAAAGAGGTAGCAGATCAAGAGAAGGAGGCGCGGCTGGCAGCCGGTGCGGGTGGCGAAGCGGTGGAGGAGGACGACAGTGAGGACGAGCTGGACGAGGACGACGATGAGAGCTGGTACGACGAGGTTGAGTCATTGAACGGAGAGGAGAGAGCTGCGTTCGACAAGGAAGTCAGGCCGGTCAAGCTGGTTCTCATGAAGGTGAGTGCACCCCACGTCGCCAATGGCTTCTTCACTCACACGGCTGTCAGATTCGCCGCCTGGCGTTTAAGATTATTCATTCAACGACCAAGGTTCTCCCCGCATGGCACAGCATCGTCTCCCAGCTGCAGCTCCCCCCTCGTCTGATCCCCCGGGACGTCAGCACTCGCTGGAACTCAACGTTCGACATGCTCGACATTGCAGTACAGTACAAGGCGGCGCTGGACACTCTTTGCGGGACAAGGGAGCACGGACTGCGTGCCTACGAGCTGTCAACCGATGAATGGACCGTCGCGACTGAGCTCCGTGATGTTCTCAGGGTATGTCAACCGTCTCTCCCGCTGCGATCGTGTACTGACACTTCCTGCTTCTTTGCCCTCTGCCCTGCGTCTTCTCTGCCCGGGTTGCCGCCTCCTCGCTCGCCCACTCTCTCCTACCGTCGCCCACCACCGCCGCTCTCATCCCGCGACACCCTGCCTTTCTCCCCCACTCCCCATCCGCCCCCCTCGCCCGCCATCTTCTTTCTGGGCTACTCTCTTCAACGTCTCTGTCGTCGAATCCACACGGCAGGTTTTCAAGGATGCGACACTGTTCTTCTCGCGCGACACCCCGAATTTGGCCATGGTCATCCCCGCCATGGATCATATTGACAACACGCTCACTGGCTACACTCGCCCTGGTCATACTCTCAACCCGTCGATCTCAGCGGCACTTCGGCTCGCCAAGAAGACATTGAACAAGTACTACAAGAAGAGTGACCTTTCAGCGACTTACCGCATCGCTATGGGTATGTATCACATCTATGATGCGTCGTGGCCATGCTGACTTCATTCCTTTCCAGTCCTGCATCCCGGGCACAAGTTGCAGTACTTCGAGAAGGCTCGCTGGCCCACGATGTGGATCAACGACGCTCGCAGCATGGTGCGTGAGGAGTACGACAGCTCGTACGCGCCAGGATGCGAGCAGGAGGAGGAGGAGGATGCCAACGGTGGGCCAAGCGCCAACGATGATCCAGACACCCTCGCCGACGGCCGTGCTACAAGTGACAGCAAGGCTCGCTCGAAGAAGGGGGCGAAGGTCGGCCTGCAGCCTCAGCCTTCGCTGGTACGTTGTCCTGATCTGTTCGTCCCTTGCTACAATTGCTTACCCGTTCGCAGGCAGCCAACATCTTCGACAACTTGCCCGGCCTCGCTGGCCTAGGACACATGTCCGAAGAGGATGAGCTCACGCGTTATCTCGCCAGCGCGCCCGAGCCCACCAATGATGCTCTCGCATGGTGGTCGGAGCGGCGCGGCATGTATCCGCACCTCGCGCGGATGGCACTAGACTATCTGTCTATCCCAGGTGAGTCTTACCCTCACCGCCATGTCGCCGCTCTGCTAATGTCCCTTTGAAAGCGACTTCCGTGGACGTCGAGCGTACGTTCAGTCGTGGCCGACGCCTGCTGAGCCATGTGCGTAGCCGTCTCAGCGCGCAGACCACGCGTGCAGTCTTGTGTCTCGGAGACTGGGTTCGATGGGACATGGTACGCCCTGAAGATGTGCGCGCTGTGGCGAAGCTCGGTGATGTTGAGGATGACGACGGGTCTGACTACGAGATGAGCGATGGGTGGGATCGCATCCGCGCCGTTTTCGAGTCCAAGTAGTCCTCCGTAAGCACCCGTATCTACAATTACTACTTTGTGTTGTACGTCAAGAGTCTCGTCATTGTGTACTTGGGTTCGAATGTATCTGCGCCTGTTGTGCGCTCCCGCTGTAGCCTGGTGGAGTCAATTTCTGGCCTGTTCATGCTGGAGCTGTCCCCCTTGCTACGAGCATGCAACTACCACTGTGACCGTCGTTGTTATCGACAGTGGCGAGTCATGTCTCAATCAACCAGATTTGAGGGTCCGCAAATGGTGCAGAAAATGTGGCACTGCGCGCCGCCATCCTCTGCGCGTTGTGCTGCTCTTTCTGAGGTCGAGTCACCCTCCTGCTCTGCCTCTCCCACCTCACTGCGAATATCTCCGTGATCTTGAAGGCTGTCATTCTTAACCTCTCGCGCGCGACGTTCGGGCTCAGCATGTCCTCACAAGCACGTATTGAAATCTTAGCGGATGCCTGGAACCCGGGCCCAGGGAAAGCAGCCATCCTCTATCTGCAGTTGCGGGTGGTGGACGACGAGGCAAGGTTCTTTTCTCATGTGTGTATCAACCAGCTTTGCACTCTGTTCTTTGGCTCACTCTCGAGTCTCAACGGCGGTTGCTCTTAGGTCAGCCTGCCTTCGTCGATAGGGTTCCTGTGTTCCGCCACCTACTATGCTCAAGCAAGAGCGGCCTTTCGCATGGATACCTCGGGCGCCCTCGGACTGTTGTCCATTCGCCAACGCGAACTTCTGGCCGACCTCGCGCGGGCGTTGGAGATGTACGCTCAACCCACGGCGCTCCCCAGCACCTCCGTAAGCGACTGGGATACCTTCTTCGCGCGGCTGTCGGATTCCGCGGCAACTCATCGGGAGCACCTCCGGGGGGACGTCGAACACACAGAGGCACTACAGATGCTGTCACAATGGGTCAGGGAACGTCATCCTGTGAGTTTGACATAGCTCAACCTTGTGTATCATCTGGTGACCTCAGTCCTCACACTTCCTTGACCGCTCTAGGACTGGTTTGCTGAGCTTTAAAGACCGTCCCCGGAGAGTACTAGTATGGCTTAGAATACCTTAGTACATCAACCTGAGTTGTATTCTGTCCATGGTCCATATTACGAACATTTTTGGGCCTCCCTGCTTCATCATGCATTGACTACCTATATATCCCGGATAATCTGTGTTGGGATAAGGGATTGAGGGATATCCCATCCCGGGATGGGGTAACCCTAACCTTAGAGATCCCCGGATACTAGGATAGGATACTTTGCGGATATGGATACGGATACACCTCCAGGTATCCGGGGATGTATCCCTGCCACTGCCTACCGGCACCTGCCAAATATGGCAGGCAGCCCCGGAAGCGCTGTTATCAGTGCCCGGCACTCTCCAGTGGCTTATCTCTTATAGATAAGGCCTCTATCTCATCAATCCGAGCTCCCCGGACATCCCGATAGCCCCTCCCACCGGCGCTTTGGCTCCCGCCCCGCCACATCCAAATTAGGAAGGTGTACTCAACACCTGCACCCAGGGCAAACTGCCTGGTTCATAGCTCACTCATTAATCCACGGATCGGCGTCGCACTGGGCGCGTTTTGTGCGTATTTACAAGGGCTACAAATCGGCGCCAAAACGTTAAGATTCCGGTATGTATTGGTGGCGCTACATCGCGTTTGAACGGGCGCTTTACAGGAATACTGCGCGGACCATAGCGCGCCCAGTTCCTCACGCGCAGACGCGCACCTGGTATCCCCACAATGCGCTAAACAGTGGCTTTCGAACGCGCTACTCGCGGCCAGGATCCGCCCACGGGATCAAGCTCGGCGGCCTGTCCACCTCTGGCAAGGGGGTGGGCAGGCCTGACTGGGCCATATCTCGCCCAAACCATGGCGGATCTTTATGTTCTTGGGCTTGAAACGAAGCTTAAATATGGCGCCTTACACTCAATCAATAATTCCGGCATTCTGTATGGTTAAACGTTGCCAAGACCGCTGAGCAGGTGCTGGTGGGAGAGGTGCCTCCTGCGTTTTTGTTTCACCGCGCATTGCCCTAAAAGTGGGTGTGTAGCTGTATGATACATCCGAGAAAGCGTGTACGGAATTTCAGCACAATCGAATGTGTTTTGATTCCGGCAGAGCGTTATCAGTTCTGGCTTATATACCTTCATATCTGGCCTCTCAGAATAGCTATGTCTGATCTGGCTCCACAGTTATATAGAGCATTCAAACCACATTATAACGCAAAAACAAGCTCAGCAAACGGTTGAAAACTCGTCAAGATAGCGATTTTACAGTGCTACAGCCTTGCCCTGCTGTAGCACTGCTTACAATGCACTCGGATTCCGGCACTGTCACAGCACTGCCGCCCACACCGTCTTAAGACGGTCGGCGGCTATCCCCTGTGTCAACAGATCTTCTCATATCTCCCTCAATACTGACGCGTTTCTCCTCATTTTTTGTGTGCGGATTCGCGACGGATAGAACGTTCAGGATCGGCTTTTTGAATTGTAATCGGCCCCCTATTGAGCGCGACGCGAAGTAGGTAAAGTGGAACACTGATAAGAGCGTATAACCATAGAAACTCCACGCGGCACGCTGTAAATCGACAGACCTATACATACACGGTCTCTCTACAAGATAAAAAAGGAAGCATACAAATCCGCGGTTATTTGGGGGAGCTACGCGCATAATAGTGCAGAAGGTGCCAAAAACCAAGAATAAACTGAGCTGATATGATGTACAAAGGCAAATCATCCACAAATACGGTTTATAATCTTTTAATGATTAAGAATACATTTCAAGATAGTGTTCCAAGCAAAGAAACCATTCATGGTGCTATAGAACAAGGAGGACTGTTGGCGGGGATGAGGAGAGAGGCATCCTTATAAAGATGCATCAAGCGGTGAGTCTGTATTGCATTGTACATCATTGGAGAGCTGTGAGTTGTAGCTTTCCAGTGGTATGGTATTCATTGCATGGGGATGCTATGCACTCTGGAAATCCACCATGAAGGCTTCTTGAGGTGTAACCCCTTTCCTGGCCTCGCACGTCGCTTCTAAGAATGCGCGCAGCTACGTTTTAACTTTTGGAATATTCTTAATAGTTCTAGCTTTAAAACAAGCTCATATACGTACAGATCCGCCGTGATGCGGCCAGGATATGACCCGGGAACCCGGAAATGACCGCCTGCCCATGTGGACCAGGTACAGAACAGGAACGCGTGGTCCGATTCTCACCGCAAGGTGCGCGTTCGAAGGCCACCGTTCAGCGCTATCCAGGGATACCAGATGCATGTCGGCGCGTGTGGTACCGGGCGTGCTATGGCCCGCGCAGTATTTCTGTAAAGTAGCCATCAATATACGATGTAGCGCCGCCAATACATATCCGATTTTGGACGTTTAGATTCCATTCTGTAGCCCTCGTGGATACGCACAGAACGCACCCGGTTTCAACCCGATGCGATAGGTATTGAGCGAAATATGAGCCAGGCAATGTGCCCCAGGTGCAGGTGTTGAGTACACCTGCCTAATTGGGAAGTGGCGGGGGCGGGAGCCAAAGCGCCGGTGGGAGGGGCTCCCGGAATGTCCGGGGAACTCGGATTGATGAGATAAAGGCATAATCTAAGATAGATAAGCCCGGGAACAGTGCCGGGCACTGATAACAGCGCTTCCGGGGCTGCCTGCCATATTTGGCAGGTGCCGGGCAGATGCCTCGGGCCCCCGGGGTGTTCGTAATACATTACGAACCGGAACGGTTTATAATGTAATGCGCCGCGGGCCTATGAACGGTTTATAATACATTACGACTACCACAGCTGGTGCGCGGATCCGCCGTGCGGACACGCTCGACAGTAGCGAGAGACAGGCCGGAGTGGGGGATGCCAATCAGGCTCAGATGCGGGAGAGACTGTCATATTGCCGCCTGTGCAACGCTGTCGCACAGAAGGATGGGCGGAATTTGGGCGAATGGGTTGCTTGTTGACTGTGGTTGCGACAAGGGGTTTGTAAGAACCCGTCGGTTCTTTCATAACCAGACCGTGCTAGGTCGTGCGCGGAGGACGACTAACCGTCATCGAGTAAAGGAGAACGAGGTCTCCGAGGTTCTCGGAGACCCAGGGCGCATAGGCGCCCGTAGATTAGATGCGTTACGTCATGTACTTTACATAATCGTACGGCGCCCCAAGGTTCGGGCCTTGGGCGTCTGGTGGGGTTGACTTCTACCAACCCCACCATCCTACGAGTACGCCGAGCAATACAGCCCGGTCCAGAGTACTTGCGGGATACCGGGGACCGGTAGAGGTCAAGTATACTTACACTTTTTTACTCTAGCCGCGAGAACGAACATTCGTTCAAAGCATCAGTAGAGCTCGACGTCACCACGTCATCAGAACTCGGACGCCTTACGACAGCGTCCTGATATGGACCCCACGCAGCCTTCTGGAACTTCCAGCCGCCCTGAGCGAGCCCCTGGCAACCAACCAGGTTCTTCGCAGCCTGCCACTTCGGGCGACGCAAACCCGCCGCCACCCGCGGCTCCTGGGCCTTCGGGCCAACCCCCATCTCCCCGGGGCGATCCCGCACGAAGTTTCGTGCCCAATCCACCCTCAGCGCAGCAGGCAGCTCCTGCGAATTCGCCACGACGTAATACGCTGGAACCCGAGGCTCCGCGCGCACCGTCGCGCACTGGGTCTGTACGCTCGGCCCCAGGGGGCATTCCCCAACATGCCGAGCCTCCCAGGGCCCCCACTACGGACGCTCCGCGTCCTGGATCCACCAGTAATCTTACTGAGGATCTCGAGCAGATCGGTGATACATGGGCCGATATTAGGCAGAACTCGCAGCGGCGAGAGACGATTCAGCCCGCGCCCGCATTACGAATCATGGGATTCCTGCGCGACTCGTCGGAACGCTATAAGGCGTTGAGAGAGCAAGTCGTGCTCGCGGAGGCCGAGCTCAATGATCAGCTCGCTGCTTTCGAGCGAGAAATGAGAGAAATGGCCCAACAAGGGGCGGACCAAACAGTGGGTCCCGGAAACAACGTCGAGGACGTTATTGACGCCACTCATGTGGAGGCCCACCTGGCTGGCCCCCCGAGTCCAACACCCAGTGAGGTGCGCCGACAACAAATGGAGTACGATCGTGTGGAACGACTACGCCGGGCTGGACTTGATCAAGTCGGTCCCATAGCGGGTCCTTCCCGCATCGTATCCCCCGCTCCCGGAGGCCCCGCACCCATTCGTGCAGAGCAGCCCCGACGAAGCGTAGCTTTCGGACAGTTCGAACCGTCGAACATCACCGCACCTCCGGACTGGGATCAGTACGAATCGGCGTCGCAGGCTCCCCGGAGAGATCATAGACCTGCCACGTCTACGGCGATACCCCAACAGTTCGTACTGCGACCGCGTCGGTCCATGGCCCCTGGTGTCTCCGTACACCCCGGACTTCCAGTTGTCCCTGAGCAGGACCTACACCGGTCCGAGGAGCTGGCGTACACCGGTCCCAGCTACGGACCTCGCGACACCCGTGAAGTCCAACGGCTTCTTGGGATGATTGACGAAATGGTCGGAGAGGAACCTACCTCCAGCCCGCCGGCCTATTTAAAGGTCACGAAGATGACCCTCCCGAAGCCGTATGCGGGCAAGGATGATCTCGACGCCTTCGAGATTTGGTTTCATAACCTTCTCGAATTTTTCCGTACACTCCGGATAACTGGCCCTTCCATGGACCGTGATCGTCTACGAATACTGGGCGACTGCTTGGCCGACGACGCGGCCACTTGGCTGTACAATACGGTACAATCTCCTTCCCGTGAACGTCGGGAGTGGTTGTTCGAGGAAGCCATAGTCGGTTTATTCCGACGTTTCATCCACCGAGATAATCATCTCCAAGCTTCTCAGGAGTATGAGAATCTGAGATTCGAGCCCAATAAGGGCGGTGTCGCCGCGTTGTACGAACGCTTACTGTACATCACCGAGAAGATGTGGGAGAAGCCCTCTCCCTTCCAGATACGTTGCAAGTTTATCGAGACGTTGCCCGTC